CCCCATATTCTATACTTCTTTTTTTTATTTATAAATAAATTACTTATTTAAAAATTACAACATATTTGTTTTCATATATTCGGAAAATTATAATTAATAATCATCGTTTTTTTTTTTTTTTTTTTGTCATGAATAGTAAAATGCCATATACAAAGAATTTGAAGCACGAAAAAAATTAAATTACCTAATTAAAATGAAGAAAAAACATTTCTTAAGCTATTAAATTTCTTCCTTTTTTCAAATTAACATACTCGTTCAAAACAAAAGAATTAATTATTAGCTTTTATATAAAAAAAACCACCAGATAGATTTCTTTTCATAAATATATAAGAAAATTTCTCCCATGAATGTAAAATAAGCTGCTTTCATTATTTGTAAAAAAGAAACACACAAGCATTCTATGTTTACGAGTAATTTAACCCCGAGAGCTAATTTTTCAATGGTTGTCTTTCAAACTCGCTTACATATAGATTTATTTTTATAATAAAAAATTAATATTAAATAGTTCGTTTCATAATAATCTTTGATAGTTTTTTTTTTCTTTTTTTTTTTTAAATTACTAAAAAAAAAAATCTTGGCACCAAATGCCAAACTGATTGTGTGCTGGAATATTAATTAAAAAAAAAATTACGACACTTTTCGGCATATATGTATGTCGTTCAAGACTCTTCACCCAAACGATAAACTTCAATAGATGATAAAGACGCCAAAAAAATAAACTTATCTTTGAAACTCTCAATATAGTTTTTCGACACAATGACTTGTCACATATACTTAAAATACATTTCCTAACAATAGAATTTTTATATATATGCTTTATGCAAAAATCATGTAAAAGAAAAAAAAAATGTTGCCAAAAATAAAAAAAAAAAAAAAAATTTACTCACCATTGATGAACTTGTCAATCTCTCTCGTCTCACCGGAAATGTCTTTTTCTCCTGATTTCTTATATAGAGTCTCGCCATTGCAAAAGGTTCATTCACATATGTTTAGAATCTGAAAAGAATAAAAATAGTACAAATTTCAATTGAATTCATGATTTTTTTTATAGATATATATATATACAAAATTTCCTAACATAAAGGAACAATTTAATTAGAATAAAGTATTTTTTAGTATAAATAGAAAATAAACCGAATTTTTGCTAAACTGAAAAAAAAATTTGATTCGCACTTGGAAAGATTCTCCGGAAAGTGCCACCTGGAGGTTCTATCAGAATTCCGCTGGAACTTCCAACGTAATTCCGTCTAAATTCCATCGGAGTTCCAAAGAATTTCCGATGGGATTCCGACGGAATTTCGATTAATATTTTTTCAAAATTTTTAGAGTCCTAATTCCGTTGGAATTCCGTCGGAACTCCGATGGAATTTCGACGGAATTACGTTGAAAATTCTGGCGGAATTCTGATAGAACCTCCAGGGGGCACTTTCTGGGGAATCTTTCCAAGTGGGTTTAAATAATCGATTACATATTATCAAATAAATATTTTATTATATCAAATAACTTTTATTCGAATCAAATAAATTGTATATTTAAACCAATAATTTCTGTATTTGAAAAAAATTTAATTCACTCAAAAATTATTTGGTTCAAAAAAATATTTATTTAACAATAGTCAAGTAACCAATATTGAATTAAATAAATTTATATTTAAAAATTCCTTAAAAATTAAAAATATGTTAATTTTCCTACTGTTACAGATATTTTTCTAAATATTAGACATTTGTTATTTTATTTAAAAATGTTTACGTTTTAAATTATATTTTTGTTTAGAAATTTTATTATTTTTAAATTGTAAAAAAATATACAAATATTTAATAAATTTAAAAATATATAATAATAATAATAATTATAATTATAGTAAAAATAAAAAATAAGATAATTGAAAAAAAATGCAGATTTATCGCGAAAATAAGAAAAAACACAAACAAAGGTGAAAAAAAAAGTAGATTTTCTTTTGTGCAAATTAAAAAGTGATGATGCACCATATATCACACCATTGATAGAATTCTTGTTAATAAAATACTTGCGAGTTATGAAAATTATGAAATCGCACAAGTTATGAATGGGACGTTCACCCAGAAACGATAAATTGACGCAAGATAGAGTAGAAAAAGCGCGGAGGCGGATGAAGAGCCGTGAGCGTTGATTTACGAGACAATTGAACTTAGGCCTTTAAATTGATTCACGAGAGTAGCCAGCGAGAGATAATTGCTTGGCGGCATGACTCAAAAATTATCGTCTCTCTTTAAGAATTTACAAATGTTACCACCCCATTATCCACTATATAACTCTTCAAACATAAAATGACAATTTTTCCACTTATACATATATATAGCAGAGAGAAATAAAATGATAGTCACTTATCTATAAAACCCTGAACTATCTCCTTATTCCCATATATATATATATATATACCATTGATACAATCTATATGTACATTTCCTTTAAATATATATATATATATTATAATAACTGACTAGAAAAATTCTTGATCCCTTTTATGTAACGTCTGAGCGCGGAATCATTTGCAAAACTCATTATAGATTTCAACTTCCATTTATGATCAATTTTTTTTTACAAATTCTTCATTAATTTACATAATCAAACAAATTACTGAGACATTATAATGAATATGAATTTAGAATATTGGTAATTTACAAATTCGATGGATTTTAAACGAAATAATTAAAAGAAAATGTAAAAATGTGAATAATTGAAAAAAAATTGTACAGTAAGGGCAAACATAAAAATTTAATTACTTGTTTTTAAAAAAAAAATACAAGAAATAATTTCACTTAATTTATATTTTGTTCTATTTTACGACATTTTCTATTTTTCTTCTCAATTCTGCTAATTTCCATAAAACCACATGTCATACATTTGGCATTTTATGAGACCGTTAAAAGCACAGATTCAATATAACATCACACTCCAAGATGGAAGAATATGTTTTTCTCGGCAATACTCAGGAAATTTTTTGTAAACACAATTTTTTTTATTTCAATTTATATATTATAATTTCTCACGGAGCAAAATAAATATTTATTTCTAGTTTAAATCAAAATTTTATTTACGCTAAATAAAATATTATTTCTGCTAACTTAAATTTAATTTCAAACAAATAAAGTCATTAGGCTCTGAGACAAATATATTTTTATATATTTGATTCTAAATATAAATGCAAAAAAAAAAATTTCTCTGGGTGTAGAATCGATATTTAATTTTACAAAAATTTCTATATACATGGCCGATTATCAAAAAGGCAAAATTTATAATTTACCGAATTTCTATATTTGACCACTTATGCAATTTTGTTAAATTGATTTTTGGCTAAATAAACATTTTGCTAAATGAAAATTCTCTTAAACAGTAATGTTAAATGTATATTTGGTTAAATAGAAATTTCACTAACTTGGAATTCTGTTAAATGAAAATTCTGCAAAATAATTACATTCGATTCGGTTAAATGAAAACTGTGCAAAAATGGAAATTCCGCTAAGAATTCATGCTAAATGAATATTCCGTAAAAATGGAAACTTAAATAAAAATTTTTTTGCTAAATAAAAATTCTGCAAAATGGATAATCGACTAAATCCAAACTATATATGCTAAGGAAAATTCTTTTAAATGAGAAATTTGGCTAAATGGATATACGGTTAAATGAAAATTACGTTATCCAGAAATTTTGCTAAATAAAAATTCTGTATAATGAATATTTTTTGATTAAATGAAAATTAAAATTTAATGCAAAATTGTATTAAATTAAAATTCTAATAAATGCGGAATTTCTGACAACACAGAAAATTATAAGGTATTAAAATAATCTGCAACGCTTATTATTTTAATCCAATTTTACTTATTTTAATACCAAAATGGATTAAAGTAAGCAAAATTGGATTAAAATAATAAGCCTTGCAGCTTATTTTAATGCCTTTTAATTTTCTGTGAAATTTAGTGGAAATTCAGCTAAATGAAAATTCAGTTAATTAAAAATTCTACTAAATAAAAATTCCACTAAACTGTAATTTGAATTTAATAAAAATTATTAAATCATAGGGAAATTACGTTAAATGCGAAAATTTTAAAACACAAAAATTATACTAAAGAATTCTCTTAAATAACTAAAAAAAAAACTAATATAATTTTTTTTTTTGTAAAGAAACATTTTTTTTTCTCACATTAGATATTCCCTTTTCGAGTCGCGTAAAACTCTTCTATTGACATTTCTATTGAACATGTTTATGTTGTCTTTTTTAAAGAGGATTTGTTAAATATCCACTTCTTTTTTTCATTATGAAGAGGTGTACAGTGGAAATTATACACGCTTATTTCTTGTCTTGTTTTATATATACAGATATATAACTTTTCTGCATTTTTTTTCTCTCTCTCTCTCTCTCTCTCTATACTGTCTCTTATTCTTTTTTTCTCTTTAGTGTCTTTGCTCATCAGTGACTATAGTTTCACGCTTCACTTAATGTTAAGAGTCATCGTCTCATAACCCACTCCGCCCCTATTTCTCATCTTCAACGTTTGTAGACGTCTCGTAATGCGCCTCAGAGAGAAAGGAAATGCACATGAGCGCTCTGTCAAAGCTGTTCTCAAAATCACCTACGTCCATTAAGATATTATGAATGTTGTTTGCAAACGAAAATGATAAAAAGAAGAAGAATCCGTCATTTAAGTCGCCCCTGTGACAAAATCTCCAAGGCCATAATTATTCTTTTGAGTTTTTTTTTTTTTTTTTGTAAGCGCAACGTCAAAGAATTCATCTCTTTTCTATTATAAAAATGATCATTACGATTTTTAATTTTATATTTTTTCCTCCACTATTTATACTAAAAATAAATAAAAAAAAAAAAATTCTTCTCTTAAAAATTTTAATCGGATCTGTTTTTATACGATGAAAAAAAAAAGTGAAATCGAAAGGCGAAAGTCGATTATAGCAAAAAACCTATGATTTCATCATTAAAGATTTGATAAATTGATTTTGTTTTCAGGCGAATATAAGTCAGACCGAATATGAAAGAGCACACAGAGACTACCTTACGAGGATACAAACGTCCGGACACGAGCGGCGAAAAAGACTTTTCACATTTTACCCATCAGGTAATTTATAATCAATTCTTTAATATATAATAAAAATTCCAACTCTATTATATATATATATAACCTTGCTAAAAAAAAATTAATGCTCGAAATTCGACACAATTTTTGTGAAATATCTCCTATATAAAATCGATTTTTTTCGACATCTCAATTTATATGATAAATTTGATTTTGCCATTTAAAAAGACGACGTTTATACAGTCTCGAATATATTTCCATACCCTTGTTTTTTTTCTATGTGTGTAAAAAAAAGAGAGAGACTCGACCAGTTTCTATGCGAAAGCACCTATTTGCTTACCAGCGAGAATCCCGAAGCCAGAAGAAGTAGAAGAAGATTTCGCAGTAAAAACGACTATATGCATGCCTCGCTCTCGCGGTCGTGATAAACTTCGGTATTCCAGGCATGTTAAAATGTACAATGCACACTCATAAAAAAAAAAAAATTTACATGAAGCGTGCGAATGACAAAGTATCCTTCGAATTTCACATTTTTAAATGCCTGCTAAGTGTTATTAAGTTCGTCAATATTGATATGCGTCCTCGCTAAAATCTCTTTCTCTCTCTCTTTTTTTATCTCTCTCTCTCTCTCTCTCTCTCTCTCTATTTAGCCGAATTCTTTCACTGTATATAAAATTTCCATTTGTCCGAATTTTTTCTCCCTTATAATAATTTAATAAAATTTTTCATTTTGCTAAAATGAATTTTTAATTACAAAAATATTTTCCATCAATTCATATTTGTAAAAAGGGGGGCGTACATATGATTATTCCATAAAAATTATTAGTTAAATTTTTCATTTTAAAGAATTTTATTCCAACTAATTATTTTTCAAAAAAAAAAAAAAAAACAAAAAAATTTAATTTTTCAAATTAAAATTTGACAGAATTTCTTCTTTTTTTTAAAGAATTTTAATTTTGGCAGAATTCTTAAAACGTCGAATTTTTATTTGTCCGAAATTGCAAATGGCCAAACAAACAATCGCCAGAAAGATTATTTCGGCGCTATATTTTTAAAATCCACCAATTAGAATTTTCTTTGACAATTTTTGATTGATGAATTTTAAATATCGCGCCAAAATCTTTCTGCGTCGATTGTTCGGTCATTTGCAATTTCGGACAAATAAAAATTCGACATTTTAAGAATTCTGTCAAAATTAAAATTCGGTGTCTAAAAATTCTTGAAAAAAAAAAATTCTTATAAATGTTAATTTGAAAAATGAAAATTTGTCTAAAAAATAATTATATATTGTATATCTAATAAAATTGTTGAAAATGAAAATTCTAACTAATGATTTTTATGGGATAATTATGGGCCCCGTAAAAAAAGACCCATTCATATGTCAAAATTCGATATAATTTTCAGTTATATTCGATGGGGAGCATCATTATATTTATCACAAAAAAAAATCACGAACGAAAGAATTTTTTTTTTTTCATCTTAAGAAACATCGAGGATAAAATATATTGGAAATAAAATTTAATGTGGAAAATTGTTGACAGGCGTGTGAGATCAGTGATTGAGATACATGTTTTTCTAAATTTTTTTTATATATAGGTATATATGCATTTATAAATGTAAATCTATTTCATGTTTAATGTTAACTTTTATCTTTTCTCGCACGTGGCTCATTTCAATCAGAATGTGTAACACCATCACAAAACCCGTTTATGTCAACATGTGCATCTTCTAATGACTAAAAAAAACTAATTAGATGGAAAATGAATTAAAAAAAAAAATATTATTATATATGCTCGTTTGAATCTAATTAACACGAATGAAAATTCAAATATAAATATTAATTGCCGTGAGAAAAATGAAAAAATCCGCTCTGACACAATCGAAAATGTTTATATAAAAAAAAGTCTTTTTTTATTTGTCAACAAAATAAAATTTATTAACAAAACTTAATTAAACTATTAAATCTAGTTTTCGTTTTTAAATAATTAATTAAAAATTAGTTAATTTAATTAATTACAAAAAAAGTTAATAAAACAGTTACTATATATGTTATTAATTTTGCTTTAAAAATTAAGACATTAACCGCATATTTTATTCATCAATAGCTGATAAAAATTTTATGAGTTGCGTGTGAATTTTTACACGGCATTTTTGAAATTAAATGAATTTAATTTCTATATAAATTATCATCGATTTTTTTTTATAGATTTGTCAATTTTCGTTTGATGAATTCAATTTTAATTATAAGATAAAATAATTTTATGGTATTTTAATGACATTGATTTGAAAATGTTATTGATAATGAAAAGAATTTGACGACTTTATTGAGATTTTAACCTTTTCGAAATAAACGATTTCTATTAAAATTTGAAATAGCAAAAAGTTACATAATTTTGTAAATTAAATTATTGGCAAAGAAAACTATATTTTTTTAATAAATAAATAATAAAAAAAATTAATTTTCAGTTTCAAATGAAATTAATTAAAAATAAAATTATGTTATTAAATAAAATAATTAAATTAAATTGATTAATTAAAACAATCGGAAAAAGAATTTTAAAAATAGTTCGTTTGTACTTTGATAATCGAATAAGAAAAGTGATAAAACTATTATTAGCGTTGTTAACATGATTCATTCGGTTATTATAGGATATTGAGTGTCGAATGTAACAAACGACTGATCGTTTATTTCAAAAAGAGAGAGAGAGAGAGAGAGAGAGAGAGAGAGAGAGAGAGAGAGAGAGAGAGAGAGAGAGAGAGAGAGAGAGAGAGAGAGAGAGAGAGAGAGAGAGAGAGAGAGAGAGAGAGAGAGAGAGAGAGAGAGAGAGAGAGAGAGAGAGAGAGAGAGAGAGAGAGAGAGAGAGAGAGAGAGAGAGAGAGAGAGAGAGAGAGAGAGAGAGAGAGAGAGACGATTCCAATTTAGTGAATCCAAATACTTTGAATTCTCTTATGCTTTATCAAAAGCTATTTTGCGATACCAAGTAGTCAGCCAAAATCGCAAAATCGTGGGTGTAAATCTTTATTTACATGCAAATTTTATACAAGTAACTATAATAAATTCTTCTTAACAACACTTCCGTATCGAAAAATTTTTTTGATGATTAATAGAGTCTCATATAAAATTTTTCAGAGAAAACGCATGCGGTTGCAAGAAAATATAGATATTATAAATCCTTGTCAAAAAAATTTCTTTCATTTACTTTTTCCCGTACATTTGTCATAAATATTATATACGTAAACAAATTAACATATATAAAAACTAGTGTCACACAAATTATATTTAAAAATATTTTTTGAAGATTCTAAGAAAATTTATTACCATTTTTTTTTCTGTCGTTTATTATATATATATATATATATATATATATATATATATATATATATATATATATATACAATCGAGATGTCAAGAAACTTGTTTAGAAACACCGCTTGAAATACCTGTTCCCCTGAAAATCCTTGGATAACAGTTGTATAATAAGCTCTCAATATCCCGATAACGGAGAATTCAATCTTTGAAAATGTGCAATTTTTTATTTTTATAAAATTATCAAAATACCGTTTTTTAAATAACTAAATTATTATTTTTTTTCACTAACATTTATTCCATAGATCTTCTTATTAAATCAAAGAAATTTTCTTTTTTTATTTAACAAATATTTTTCTGATGTAAGAAAATTTTATTTTTGTAAATAAAAAATATTAAAGAATATTTATAGTTTTAAGTTTATTATATCTTATTTATTGAAAGAAAAAACAAAAAAAAAGATGTTAATTAAAAAAAGACAATTGCGAGATCTTTTGAAAATAAACAAAATAACTTTCTTTTTAAAATAGATCAAAAAAAGTCCCGCAAAATTATGAAATCATTCTATTATATTGAGGAGAAAAAAAAAGAAAACGGAATTTACGTTTCATTGAGAATACAAACGAGCATTTGAAATATATATTTTCATTCAGCCCTCTCATTTTGAAATAACATTCGCATTCCTGTTTACAGTTATTTTTGTCACAAATATTTTTTTGAAAATTAGAATAAAATTCAAAAAAAATTTGTATTTCATGTGAAAAAAAGAAATATTAAAACTATATATTCGTCAAAAAAAAAAGAAAAAACATCCATTTGTTTTAATAAAAAAAAAATTATATCCAATTTTTAAATTTCATTAATAAATCATTAAATTTGTAATTATCTTTTCTGTACATTAAAAAAAAAATTTATTTTTTTATCGGTTACTTGACAATTATCAAATATAATTTTTCTATTAAAAACAAATATCAAGAAAAAGTCCTTATGGATTCTAAAAAGAAATATCTCGAACAAATAAATAACGAGGAGAACGCCCTTTTTTAAATTCCAAGTATAAATATTTGATATCCCCTCCTATCGCTTTTTTATTTTAACGATCCTCATCATACATCTTGATCGTCTCTCATAACAAACTCGTTTTTATTATTATAATTTCAGAGCATTCTGGTAATGGAAGCTGCTGTGGCGGTTTATTGGATGACAGACCACTTGAGAGCCTCACCTTTCACCTGAACATCCCCGACAGGATTCATTCCACCGTGGACCATTCGACTCTCAGGTTCCTCCTCAGTAGCCAATACAATCAGATTCAAAGTCTGAACATTCTAATTTACGAGTCACTCCAAAGTGGAGCCGCTCGACGATTAATTTCAAAACGCAAGTTACTGAATCAAAATCAACCTCAGGCATCGCAATGGATCGAATTCGATTTAACTGATGCTGTATTATCAACATTGAACGAGGAGAATCATCATTTAATTTTACAATTGGAATTTCAACAACAAAATGGAATACCAATTGAATATATAATTTTTTCACCTGTTCTCAATATATTTACAACAACATATAATAGTCGAACAATAAGAAATAAACGTGGAGCACACGATCAATTGATCTCATTGCATAAGGGTCGTCGTACCGAATGTCGTGGTGATAATAAAAAATGTTGTCGACATCAAATGACAGTTATTTTTAAAGATTTAAAAGGTTTTGAATTTATCATTCAACCAAAAACATTTGACGCTGGCTATTGTAAGGGTAGATGTCCACCACGTTATAATCCAGCGCATCATCATGCTCTATTGCAAAGTCTCATTTGGAAGGAGGACAGAAGAAAAGCACCACGACCATGTTGTGCACCAAGTAAACTCGCCGAACTTGAAATTCTCTATTTTGATGAAAATGATCCGACAAAATTAAAAATCTCCAATTGGAAGAATATGAAAGTTCTTGAGTGCGCGTGCTCTTGAGGAGACGCGATTACTCTTTTTTTTCTGTTTTTACTAACTATATAGTGTCTATTATCAAGTCGCACCAAAGAAATAATAATTTGTCGCGAGAATTTTGCATTTCGAAAAAGAGAGAGAGAGAGAGAGAGAGAGAGATATTTAAAATATCGAACAATGCCTTTTTCGGCAAAAGAAGATCTTAAAATAATATTTTATTTGTAAAAACACACGAAATATGTTTTTTACATATAAACATTGTAACAAAATGTGTCTTTATCGACAAAAGTGTCAGAGAAATAAATTTTATGTGATATACTAAACAACTTCCACATAAACTAAATTTTGAAATTTTAAAAAACGTTTTCAATTGACAAGAATTTTAATATTGATGTACGAATAATTTCAATTGAATTTAAAAAAAATTCAAATACTAGAAAACGATAATATTTAATATTGCAAACTATAATTAAAAATTTAAACATATTTCTATTGAAAATAATAATGAAAACCAATTTTATATCCCCAATCATTTGATTATAGAAATCAGATTTTATAAATTTTGAATCAAGCCTAAACATTATTTTCAAATAAACAATTTGAGATACATAAAGTGTCAAACATTGATTAATAAAAATTTGTCTTTCATAAGAATTTTACAATAAAAATTGTATTACTATGAAATAACTATATTAAGAACTGTTTTCTTAAACTTTTTATAATTAAAATAAAAGAAGCAAAAAATTTTTGCCATGAATTTACAAATTTTCTATACAAAAGTAATCGAATCGGAAATTAAGTATTAAAAAAAAGATTTAAAATTAAATATCAATTAATTAATAATCCTTTGACTCAAAAATTAATTGGTTCAAATAATTTTTTTTTTTTTTTTTTTGATAATAGTCAAATAACCAATTATTAAAATCAAGTAAATTTTTTTTCATACCTGTTTTCCAATTTTTTTTTTTTTATAATTTGCAAAAAAAATTAATTTTACGAAATCTTTGCCGGTAATAAGTTCTTGAATTCAACAAATTTTTTTAAATACAATTCTCACATCTAATTTTTATTTATGAAATATTCTTACTTTCTAAAAATAAAAATTCAATTAAATTACTCACATTTTTGTAACACGTCGTCATAATTCTGGAAATAGCACAGCGTCTGAAAAAAGATAAAAAAAAAAAGAATCATAATTAGTAAAGTTGTAAATGCACTGCAAACCTTTTTTTTTTTTTTTGAAACAAAAAAACATCCTAAACTAAAATATATGTTTTAACCTGACAGACTTTGTAAAATATTTCGCGGAACCTATTATTTGCTGAGTCAATAAATGATTCTTTAAAAGTCATTAAAATGAAGTCATTGTATTGAAAAATATTCTTTCAATTTTATAAATAATATATTTTTTAAAAAATTAATTTTAATTAAAAATTAATAAAATAAAAATTTAATGGAGATAAAATGAACAAAGAAAAAAAAAATATTAATGAAATGAAAATGAACTGAATAAAAATGAATAAAATACAAATGAAATATACAAAAATGAATACTAATTTTTTTTTGTTATTCATTAATGTATTCGAAGAAATAATAGCCGATTAAAGTTACTTTTTTATTGAAAATATTTTTTTGAGGTGTAATCTCACTTGTTGAAAAACAATTTTTTATATACACATTTCTTGTGAATTTTTTTAAAGAAAAAAAAAAAAAAAAAAAAAAAAACTATTGTATACAAAATAATATTTACTAATTCCATTGTGTGCAGTTGAACTAAGATAATTTCCCGTATATATTATTAAATTTATTATTATTTAAATAAAATAATTATCAAAAAAATTTGATATACGAAAAATAGTTCATTGTTCTTATTGAACACATCGAATTTTACAAAATGTTTTCAAAAGAAGTTTTTTTTAAAATTAAAATAAAAAAATAGTGCAATGACATTGCTATACATTATAGGCACATTTTTAATTGTATAATTTTTCTTCCACTTGTAATAGGGAAAAGTAGATCTAATATATATATATATATATATAAAGCGACACAAGTGTTTGCACGCATCGCTCTTCCGCATAATAATTATTATAATATCACAAAATCAAGTTTAAAAAAAAAGAAACAGATGTTGTGATTTTGTATTATATGTAATATAATTTTATGAAATATTATTTATTATACTTAAACTCGATTTAAATTTCAAGAAAAGTGTCGTATATTTAATTTTTAAGCATGTAATAACGAATTAAAATATGCGTTTATAGTAAAAAAATGTACTGAGAAAATGATTTAAAAAAAAATTTTTTTTTTTTTGATTCAGACAATTATATTGATTTTAAAAAAATAGATATTGTTAATTAGTATCTATAAGTGGAAGTTCACGGTTGATGATGACCTTTTAATTATTGCAGTAGTGAGAAATAAGATTTGATTCAAAATGACTTTGTTATAAGATAAAGTAAATATAGAAAAAACTTTTTTCAATTAATATATCATCTAAACAATTTGTGTCTTAATTAACTATATGCGCGAAATCTTTTTCTCAGTCTATCTATCCGATTATATATTATACAATAATAATTGCAGGAAAAAAAAATATAAAATAATTCGACTGTTTTCTTTAATATTGACATGACATGACTGAAGTGCAAGTATATAGAAATTAGTCCAACGGTCATGACAGATTATACTGCAATGAAACAGATCCCGTCCGTGTGCGTTTCCTTATTTATAGCTCGACCAAAAGTAGGCTATGACTACTTCGTGAAAATAGTTAATTCAATAAGAAACATCATCATCATCGTAATATTTACATTTTCGTTAAATACAAACATTATGCAGCTGTGTGGTCAAAAAATTCCTTAACTACTTAACATTTCTAAAACATGGCTTATTCAACTTCCATTCATCTGTTTCATTTTTTTTCTTTTTTTCATTGTATAGTCATTTTTTCTTTTTTTTTTTTACAAAAAAATTAATAATTTTCAAACGAATTTCATTAATTTTTTTCAAAGATAAAAAAAAAACCATAATAACAGAATTTATTTCAAGACAAAAAAACAAAAATAGAACGAAAGCTACAAATCGATTGAATTAATAGATTGAAAATTTTTTTAAAAAAGGAATTTGAAAAATAAAGTTTTGAAAAGTCACATGAAATTGGCTAAAATACGTTTTAAAGTGGCACAAAGATGGGCTAATAACGATAAACCTTCATGGCTGCATGAATGCATGTATCCTGACGAGAAACTCCAGAATCAAATTCTATAGACTTTTATTTATATCTTCGTGAAACATCCTGTACACATAATACTTGTCATGGCAAAAGTTTGTTCATTTATATTCATAGCTCTGTCAATTTTTTTTTTTTTCATTAGAGTCGAATATCGAAATGAATGGACTTTTGACACAGTAAACGCAATCGGATTTATATACGAAAATTTCACATATAAAATATATTGTCATTCTACGATAGTAAAAAAAAAAAAAAAAAACGATTGTTATAGTATTTATTTATATCTAGTAAAATTGAAATATACACTCGTTATTAAGCAATCATTTTTTTTCAAAACCTTGAAAATCATCAAAAATGACAGTTGACAAAAATTTAAATAAAAAAAAAAAAAAAAAAAAAACAAAATCAACTGTCTGCAAGTAACGTAGAGCATATAAATTTCCCCTTTTTAATTCAGAAAAGACTTCCACGAAAAAAGAAACTAAAGGAAAAAGACTCTTTTGTCCTCTCTACATCCTTTCGGAGTTATTACAAAAATTATAAAATCTTTGGAAAAATCGTCACTCTTTTTTTAAAATAATTTAAAAAGCAAATATATTTATAAATAAATTCTCATCTATTCTATATAGATCCCAACAGTCAGAATGAGAATATAAAAAAAGGGGACAAACAAAAAAAAAAGATACGAAAGAGATGGGATAGAAAAAAAAAGAAACAGAAAATAATTCATTCCTAACATATTTCATTTTATAAAAATAATTCCTTTTGTAAAAAAAAAAAAAAAAAAACTAATATGAATGTCCGCGAAGAATCTATATCCCTATAACGAGAAGATAATTTAGTGATTTTAAAAATGAATTTACAATAGGCCATAAAATGCGTTGATTCAAAAGGTTATCCAATTCACAAGCGATACTCTCTTATTGTCTCTCATCGTTTTATAAACGATATATATTTATTTTATTGTAAGCGATGGACTTTCTATCAATTTTGAAACACGACATTTTATTAAAATTCAAAAAGGGAATGAGACAAAAAAAAACAAGAACGAATAAATAATGTTTTTAAAATACACAAGGCAAAAATAATAATAATAATATATATGCAGCTGAGATGGCTTGGGCCCTATGTATGAAAAAAAAAATACAAAAAGTAACATCGATTTACACTCGCAATAAAAAGAACAATAGAAACATAGGTGCGATAAGATAATAAATAATAAGAACGAAAAATTCGATGTAAAATATAGCACACACGATCTAAGATTCTATAAGCTCTCTTATGTAAGCAGCAACGCACATTTAAATAAATAAGGAATTTACAATTCAAAAAAAAAAAAAAAAAATTATTATCACACATTTGGATATTAATATATTTTAATTATTAATCTGTCGCCATTTAATTTGTCTCTTTTTCCCACTTTTTCTATTAAAAAAATATTCTTTTTCCCTTTTCTAGATAATAAAAATTCTTCCAGAAAAAATCATTTTTAAAAAGTAAATTTCTTATTAATTATTTGTGCAACGTTATTGAACTGTGATATTAAAAATATAAATAATAAACGCGCTATGACTTGTTTTCCATATACATATAAAAATAATATTTAATACTCGTATATAAGTTGTAACTGTACTTTCATTGCAAATATCATTTGAAAAAAAAAAAAAAAAAAAAAAATGAAAAAGAAGAAATTGACAACAACGCGGCCTTATCCATTACATTACATTGTACAAAAATTAATTGCGAGTCAATTGATCGTGGCAGGTTTTTCTATATCCTTTTCTATTCATCTTTAAATCTCGCTTTGATATATATATATATATAAAACTTAATGACACTCGCAGTGCTCTTTTTTGCGTCCGCAAACTGCCATAGGAATGTCTCTTATAAGCAATTAATTTTTTTTTCTTCTATTCAAACAACACCCATCAACTAATTTTATCATTATACACGCATGTGTTTTGTAGCCATATTGTAAATGTACGTATACACGCATATGTATCGCGCACGCATTTAGTAATTTATTTATAATATTACATATAAAAAAAAATAAATATATATATATATATAATATAATAAAATATAAACGAAAAAAATATTGTAATATTAGATATTAAGGGATATAGTTAATATTCGCCTATTTGTACTATAAACGAAAAATAAATATATGTACTTTATAATTAAAAGTTGCATATATAATCTTGTACTGATATTTACTAGTAAAAATGCTTCATGTTGCACCTTAAATTGACTCATTATTTCTACCTCTATTTTGAAAATTTAATTTATTTACGTTTTTTATCATTTCTTTTTTTATTTTAAATACACTGAAAAAAATTTGTTTTTATTTGATTCAAATAATCAGTTACTTGAATATTATAAAATAAATATTTACTTGTATTGAATAATTATGGTATTTTTTTCAAATATAGAAATTATTGGTTCGTTTATTTGGTTCAAGTAAATAATTATTTGATAATAGTCAAGTAACCGATTATTTGAATCAAATAAATTTTTTTTTTTCACTGTAATATATATATATCCTTCAAAAATAATAATATAATCGATATATATACTTCCTAGATCAATTGTGTCAATGTCAGATTATTTGTCATAAAACTTGAAAGCTTAATAAAATGAAATATATAATTGTTGCGGTTACCTCTCAGGAAAAAAATATATAATAAAGATCAAATATTAAACTGGGATGAATCACAGTGCTTCACTGATTCAATTATATCATATATATGTATAGTAAAATAACGTACTTGAAAACATACGAAGCTCACTTTGCAAGAGTGTTTTTCATAAAGGGCAATCACGTCAATTGACACTCAAATATTATTTTTGAATGGTGGGGAAACCACAAATTATGATTACGATATCCCTTTTTATTTCATTTTATATCAGATTCGAAAATGATAAGTGCGCAACCTCTTTGCCTTTATATATATATCGTTTTTCTTATCAATATAAGAATTTTTTTCTTTATCTATTTATAAAAATTTACACCTATAATTATAAACGTATAATTTTTATATTTTCTCTAATATATTAATAAAGAGGGAATGTTAAATTATTTTGCTATAAAGGTCAAGAATTTTGAGATTATAAATGTATATATCAAATATTTGAAAACAACACTTATCAAATAGATATTTATTTGACTGATTCACGTATTTTAATTGATTTTAAAAAAATAATTTGCAAAATTTAAAATATTCAATTATATTCAGTTCATAATCAATTATATTTAAAATTAGTTTTGTATTTTAATTAATTATTGTTATGACTGCTATTCTAAGGAACTTTGACCTAGTGCCGGATCTAGACATTTATAAGAGTCTCGAATAGGGAAATTAAATGATTATATCATTATCATTAATGTTGTAGGTGTATTTAAAAATATCATTTAATTTTTTAAATTTAAAAGATCATTAATTTAATTATTCATTTTGATAACTAATAAAATTATTTACATCAAAAAATGAAATACTTTTATATGAAAATTAAAACAAATTTATACACTATTTAAAATAAAAATAACTGAGAAATATTAATTAACAGTTCATATTAATTCATATACTATATTTCAATTTAGTTTAATTCAATTAATCACATTTTTTAATTTTTCAAATAAAAATTGTTAAAAAATACTTTTTTAAATTCTTATGATAAAGTAGAAAATTGTAATTTCATTTGTCGGTAAGTTACCGAATCATTTACTATTTTAAATTTCATCCACTACGATATAAAAGGAGCTGCGATCAATAAAAAACATTTCTACAGTTTTCTACTTTTTTACTTTTTATATATATTGAAAAAAAACTTGTGTTTTTTTTGCGATTATTTTCATCAAAAAATGAATTCTATTCCATTTTTTATCCTCATCAGAAAATGTTTATTAAAAGTAGTTAAAACATAGTTAATAAGTAGTGTTGATTAATTTGAGAGATATGTAAATAAAATGTGATATTTTTTAACATAAAGTTCTAATGTAACATATATAGATGAAACATAACCTATAATTATAATAATGGAGTTAAGAAATTTTATGATAAACTCATCAGTTGATTTAGTCGATTGTGTGATTGATGAAGTTTCTTTAGAGGGTTTAGATGGAATAACTTTAGAAGGTTTGTAAATTATTTTTTATATATTATTGTCAACCTAACCTTAAAATTTGTTTTGCAATTGTACTTTCGACACATTGACCGGAAAAAGAAATCGATATGATAAACTTTTCTTAACAAAATATTTTCACCTGATTTGTCACATTTTTTTTTTTTTTTGTAAACATATTATTTAAATTTTCTTAGCATTATGGCAACGAATGTCTCTTCGTCTTCACGAAGAATTACCACTGACAGAATCGTTAATGGAACAAATCTGGTCAACATGTTCAAAAGTCAAAGGCTTTATGTTCTACGAATTAAAAAAAGCAAGAGAGCCACTTATTATTTTCGATCGTTTTGAATTATTAAATGAAGATGAAAAGAAAGCAGTGAGTCAACGAAATTATATCTATTTATAATTTTTAAACTAATATCCAAATTAATATAATTCTAAAATTTTCAGAAAATACCAAAAGATATTTATCCTCATTTTCCAATTGACGATTTACGAAATGGCATTAGAGGATCATGTTCATCGTATAATACTCGCGTGGACATTACCCTTGATGCAAGATATTATGCATTGGAAGATATAATAAGTAATTACGGTCAAAAATTTATTATAGTTGCTTCGCAAAGTTTAAGGGAACGTGCCTTGGTAGGTGACACAGCATGTCCAATAATGGAAATGAATGTTTTGCAATATTGTTTTCTCGAAAGAGTTGGACGTGCTCGTTATCATGGCGATGTATCAAGTGGTAAAACTGGCATTGGTTCAATTTCCGATGATCCAAAATCATTGTTTTATCATCGAAAATTTTTATTAAAACAAAAATTAATTACAAAACAAGCCTATTCCGAACGAGTTTCAGGGAACAGTTACAGTGGTAGTTTACTTCATCTAACAAGATTTTACGTTGAAAGAAGACCAAAATTTATTCTTCTATCCGAAATTATAATCAATTATCTAAAATCAAAGCCCAACTATATGTCAAGTTATGACGAATTAAAGGAAAAATTAGAGTTAAAAGTTCCTTTAAAAAAGATTTTTAAGACACCGATACTAAAAACAATTATTAGAACGGATATTGTAAGTTGAAAGAAAAAATTAATTAGAATTTGTCTTCTTTCTTTTTTGCTGTATTTTTATTTACTTGTCTATTTCAGAAAGTAGCATATGGAAATTTAAATCCACAAGCTAATGAAATAGGTAAAAACGGATGTAGTATAGCTGAGAAAATAGTGAGAGCTATTCAACTTGTGGATCCGAATATTGATATCAATCAATTTTGGGGAAAACATGATGGACCAGACGAAGAAGAATCTTACGGTATTTTATTATCTATTCTATCACTATTATTATAATTATTATTAAATGATAAATAGTATTTTAGCAAATTTATCAGTTTTTGTTAAAAAAAATTTCTTTTTCAGATTTGGATACATCGAGGCAAAAATTAAATATATCATATCTAAAGCAAGCGAATCGTTTTGTGGAAGAGTCTCGTCAACAAGGATTAAGTCAAACGGAACTTGGTGCAAAACTCGGTATGACAAAATTACACACACGAACAATTCTACGAAATTTAGTCAAAACACGAATAGTCGCAACTTACATGAATGACGTTGGTAAGCAAAGAGTCACAAAATATATAGCGAAAAAGTATGAACATTCGAGTCAAATGAGTAAACAATTAATGCAAGAAATGGACAAAATGAAAGAATTCAATCGTACCTCTCAAGAAGAAAAAAATAATGATCGTCCACCAGTGAATGAACCAGTAAATCCACCAGTTAAACAATTAGTGAATCAAATACCGAATTTACCACCAGAAGTTCCTCCAGAAGAAATTTATCCAATGGATGATCATGATGATGTTCAATTTACCGATGAATTGCAAACAAATCATGTTGAACGTGACGAACAATTATTTATTAGTGTTAATAAAATTTTTGCAAAATACAAAAATTTAAAATCACGAATTAAGTTTCGTTATACTTATTTAAATCTCGCACAACTTCGCGCTACTACTTTCTGGAATCAAAGTCAAGAAACATTTGAATCACAAGATACACAAAATGAAAATCAAACTCCAATTATTAATAAAATGCCAAATACAATTCCCTCTAATAGTAGCGTTTTCAAAGATGTTAAAACAAAAATTGTCGCTTCAAGTGGTGGGAAAAAGAAGGGTCAAGTTACCGGTTTTTTGGAAAATTTTAAAAACACCAACAAGAAAAATGTCACCTATCGATTATTGAAACGAGCGAATCTTATTATTGAGGCGGTGAAACAAAAGAAAGTTATCGACGACACTTCAAAACTTCTCAAGGTTCGTAGACATTAAGAACTTATTTATTTTCCTTAAAAAGCATTAAATAAAATTTAATTTTTGAGAAAATAATTAGTCACTAAATATTTAATTAATTAACACAAATGGTTTTTACAGATGATCAAAGAAGAAGAGGATAAGGAAGGCTATTTCGTGAGGATCGATAAAAGATCATTGGCAAGGGTATTGCAAAGACTAGCAAAGGATAATTTAGTAAAATACATTAAACTAACACTCAGTGACAATGCAAGACAAAAAGTCGTTACCTACATTTGTGATCCAAGTATCGATAAAAATCATTCTCTCATTCAATCAGCTGTTGAGCAAGCAAAAATCAAATTTTGTTTGCTACGAGCACCAAACGTAAGGGCATCAAAACAATCTAGTCTCTCCAAAAAGGAACAAAATTTAACTTCATTATATACTTCCGACAGTCTTGAAGTTGCAAACGTTAATCTATTCCTCGATCCTGTACGTATTAATTTAGTATACAATTTTCAAATTTAATATTAAACATTTAAAATATAAATTGCTATAAATTAAATTTTTGAATTTACAGAAAATTGGAAAGAAATATGGTTACAGTCCAAAGTTCTTAAGAATGAAAGCGTTACACAATCTTTTATTCTACTTGGTCTACGAGCATCATGGAGAATATCAAAATTCAGGAGAGGAACAATTAGAAAAATTTCGCGAAGAAGGAATTTTTATTGACGATGAATTAGAGTCAAAAATGAATGATATCTACACAAATGAAATCGGTTGGAAAATGTTTATTCCACCTCTAACGAAACATCCCGGTAAATAAATTTCCCATTCAAGTTTTTAATGATTCTAAATTTTCGATAAATACTAAAAAAAAAAATAATTCTTTCAGGCTGGTCAGATGGATGGGCTCTAATGTGCGACATTCTCATTCGTCTACCACTCTCAATTTTCGTGAAAGTCTACAACATTCCATACGTGATACCAGATCTTGAATCCTATTTAGATCATCCAATTAAGAAACATTTTCTAGTTAAAGACATCTCGCCATTTTTAAGAAATATTCTCCTAAAATCGCGCAAATACATTTTTGTTATTCACGAAACAATAACACGTCTCTGTTATCTTGGTCTTGTTCAATTTGGTCCACAGAAACTCAAAGAAAAAGATCAAATCTTTTTATTTCTTAATCGTCACGCTCAACTCACGGATACAACAACCTCTTCCGTCAGCTATCATCGAATTGAGGAGAAATCATATCCAGTGAGAGAATATGAATTTAAATCATTGTTGGATGTCGATAAATATTGGTACGATATGTGGGAAATTTGTGTACATACATCATTGGGTGGTCGATTAGCCGTTCAAGGGAAAGATATTTTATTGGAAGATCTACCGAAAAAAGCCGAAATGATAAAAGCGGCAAAACCACGTGATCCAAATCATGTTCACGAAAATGATAACGGTCAAGTACCCGGTGATCATCAAGGAGCAGCTGGACTCGATTCTGCATTATTTGCTCATTTAAAACGAAATTGGACATGGGGTCACAATAATTACAGCTATCAACAATATAAAACATCGCAAAATAATCGAAACATCGTTTCAGAGGTGGGACCAAAATCATTGGAAGAAGCTATTCAAGATTCGACATATGGAGGCACAAAAGAGGTACGATACAAGAAAATATCATACAAGACGACGGCCAAGACAAAAACTACAACAACGATATCAAATGTCGAAAAGGAAGTTAAGGATACGAGCAAAACATCATCATCGAAGGTTCCAACAAAGAAAAAGTCCTATGTTCGTCGAGTGATGCCACGAAAGAAAACCGTGAAAAAACGTGTAAAATACGACGAAGTCGATTATCGTGCTCTTCAACGAATGGATAAACTTCGTGTCGATTGGGAGCCACACGAGGACAATATTCTTTTAATGTGCAAAGTCGCCATGATGTATCTCTTTCCAAATCCTCGTAAACAATTTGTTACTTTTATCGCCGTGCGCGATACCCTCAGAACCTATTCAAATTGTTCAAACAACAAAACATCACGCGCCTGTCAACGAAGATTGCTCTACATGCTCAAACAACCGCAAACAATAAGTAGCGTAATGCTCGGTATCGAGGAGATCAAACAAAATTACTTTGTAAATAAACGTTTCAATGGTCTTGTCGATCGTATCAAAGGCGAATGTCACAATCCCGTTGAGTACGAAGAAAAAGTAGCAAAAATCTTTAAAGAATTAGTTGCCTACATCTCGAGAAAATATTACGATATTTCAAACATGGAACCAAGAGAACCAGTGATGGTACCACAAACAATTCAAGCTTTCAATCTCATTTATGACTTGAGACATCCATCAAAAGTCCTTCATCCCAAGGGTTTCACAAAAGACGTCAAAAATCTCAACGAAATCAACGTGGCAGTTATCAGTACCGTCATTCACAGTTCCATGTGTTCCGGCAAAGATCGCCGAAGCTGGGCCTATCAATTATTCAAAATTTATCAACAATACTCCGAGACAAATCTTCGTGCCGCAATATTCAAAATTCGAAGTGATCAAATGGTATCAATACGAAAAGGCACATTGAGATCAAGCACACAAAAAAGTGGCAATTGCATGCCAATGACCAACGCTCAATATCAATTAAGTCTCAATTATTATTATAAATTTCAAACCAAATGGCCTTACAGTGTCTTCTCTGAATCATACAATCTTCTCTACAAATTAATTCAATGGCAATGCGAGAATCAAAGTCCAGAATTAAATTTCACCGTTCCATCAAATGTCCCAGGTATTGAAGTGTTACCAATTACAGGTGGAATTGTTGCCGGTATTCACGATTTTTTCGCCAAAGATCAATTAGATTTTGATATTGAAATGCCTGATCAGGTCATTATGTTAGATCCCCGTTTACAAGAAAAGAACGATGTTTATTTAAAAATTGCCAAAAGATATCAATCACTCTTGATGAATTATGCCTATGCAACAAACTCATCCACACCAAGGATGGAATCTCAAAATCGAGCAATTCTCCAAGCAATTGAAGATAAACAAGATCATCATGTTCCTCATGCGGAAATAATGCAGAGACCATTAATCAAAAAAGGAACAATTGATGACAATTTCACAATTGAAAATGCAAATACCGTTTTCATTGAGGAACCACAAATTTTATCTAATCAAACCGATGGTACTTTACAAAACATCGAAGCGATTAATGTCCGTGGTATTAAACGATGTCCTGACGATAGCGAAGATGAACAAATTGTTAAACGACCTAAAATCAAATCCGAAAAAGATGATTGCGATGTACAGATAAAGCCTATTTGTGTAAGAAACATTAGACAATTCTACTCAAAGAATTTACAAAAAGCTGAAGCACTTTTAGGAAGTATTAAAGAACCAAGTCGAACACTACAAAAAGTTGTGGAACTAGAAAATGCAAATTCAAAATTAAAAGAATCGAAAAAAGATATTGACGTAGATCCACTTCAAGTTGATCATATATCAAATGAAGAGCAAGAAGAATTTGAACCACGACCACCTCGTCGTTGTCCAAGTGAATTTTATTATACACGATTTGGAATGTTAAAAATGCATCAAGAACACAATGAACTTACATTGGCTGACAGTCATCATGCTCATGATTTTTTTGTCGTCAATTCTTTCAATATTTTTTATAAATTAACATTATCAGATGTTGATGGACCGAGAAAATTGGATGTGCATCAAGGTTACGAAATTCCCTCGGATATATTACCATTGAAATTGAATACAGTCAATAAATTATTGAATAAAATTAAAAAGAACGCAATTTTTCCAAAACAAGTCACATCCTATCAGGAATTTCAACAAATTGTGATGGACAACGTAAGAATTCCCTGGGCTATAATTCATGCCGTTTGTATGTTTATAAAAGAAAAAAAAGAATTGGGAGCAACTTTATTAGACCTCTCCGTAAGTATTTTTTCATTTTACAAATTAAAATTAATTTTTTTTTTTAATTTATAAAATTAAATTATTAATTTTTTTTCATTTATTATCTAGACGACATTCGACTGTATTGGCGATGCACTTTGTGATATTCTCACAATATTAACGGAATATTGTCAAATTTTACGATCTGGTGTTACGTGCGTTCGTTATATTCATCAACAACATGCCGATCCATGGCTAATTAATTCATGTAAAATTCTTCGCCTCGAACAAGAAGCACAACAACCTGTACCAAAAGGATCTGCCTATATTTTAAATGATAATGCAAATTCGCAGACAAATTCTGATGAAATAATACCAAAGCAAGAGATCAATTCTCCCGAGAGAATGGAACAAGATGAAGAAAATGATATTGTTAATAATTTTGACGAACAAGATAAATCGAAAGATGATGATGATGATAGTAATGAACAAGAGGAGGAAGAATGTGACAATGAAGATGATTTTACGTTAAGACGAAGCTCTAGAAAAAGGAAAAGAATGGAAAAAGACAAGGAGATTCTTCGAGTTGAACAAATGTTCAATTCAAAGTATGTTAAATAGAAATTTAATTTTTACATCAAACGTTATCATACTTTTAAAAAGTAAAAAAATAATTTTTTTTTTCTCAAAGTAAAATTATTCAAAATCCTTTCTAAATTTCACTTAAAGGATATTTTTTTCTATTTCTATTTTCTAAAATGAATTTATTGTTATGGATAAAACAGAATGTTTATTTTTTACTTTTTGCAATTTCAGTCCATCAGAGGAAGTAAAAGTAGTAATAAAACCATGGATTCATGTTGACGGTAGTCTTAATCGACGAGTACTTGATAGAATGATGGGAGCAATTTTATCGTACTGCATAAAACATCCAGGAGTTATGTTAAATAAAATACAAAATCGATTTATTCCAGCGCTTCAACCTTTCCACACAAGAGAACTAGTCGAGGTTAGTACAAAACTAAAAATTTATTACCAAAAAAAAAATAATATTAACCTATTTTTAGAAAATAAATATCATTTAAAAAATGTTTAAAAATAACCTTATAATTAATATTATAAAACTTGATTAAATAATTGAAATTTGTATAAATTTTACTATTACAATTTAAAAAAATTAATTATTTAATCATTTTTTAAATAGTATAAAGTTTTTATATTAAAGAGACAATCAAAAAATTAATTGAAAAAATATCCACAGATACTTATTGAATTGGGATGTCTGAATGTACGAGTTTTAAAACCACAACGAGTTACTCTTTTTTCAATACCAACTGATTTAAAATTTTGTGAGTATAAAACTTTTAATTAAAAATTTTTTAAACAAAATTAAAACAATCTCAAAATACAAGTCTTTTAATTGCAAAATAATATGCAAATGATAAAAAAAAAATGATAATTTTCCTTTTGTTTGTTTTTTTAGCGGGAAATCCTGGATTGTCACAGGAAGAGGAATTAGTGATCGAACCGGAAATTGGAGCAACTTTACGTTTTGGCACATATTTGAGCAATAAGACTTATACTTCCGATTTTCTTACGTGATATAATTAAAAGTATTTTGTTTAAGGTCAATGCATCGCTAAAAAGCTGTCTGTGTTCATTTCTCTTTCTTGAGTGATTTTTTTTTCGTTTTTTTTTTGTTACATACCTAGGTTAAAATGTTCTACATCAGAGTAATAAATTAATAAAAATACACATCAATATTTGGAGTATAATATATATGATAGATTTCTTTCTGCAACTGTATAACAGTGACGTAACTACAAAAAAACAACCAAATTCGTCATAATTTTTTTCCCACACTTCATTGAGTTGCCACTTTTTTTTTAAAATTATTATTTTACAGGATTATTGAGCTTAAGCTCTGTAAAATCTGCTTTCTTTATATATAATAATAATCCGACAAACTCTCTTTTTAACTGCATGCAGAAAAAGTTTTTTTTTTTACCTTATCCCTTAATAATATTCTAACGATGCAATAAAAATCTCAATAGATTATAATTACCCAATATTACTGTTTAAAGATTACGAACACGTAATAAATTGAATAAGCCTATGTGTACCTCACTCTCATTTAAAGTGATGTTTACTACTTAAAAAATGTATAACATAAGAAAAAAAAATGATTGCTAAATTGTTAACCACTTCGTACAAAAAGGATGGTGGTTTCATTTCATCTAATTATATAAACACAAGGCGAAAAACATAGTCTGTGTCTGTAATTTTTTAACAGATTTTTTTCTTTTCTGTTCACAATGGAACATTACACGACGATACAGAAATACGTTACAATAATTTCTAAACATTCGAGAAATTGGTCGCCGCGTTTAAGTTTTCTATCTATCTCTCTCTCTCTCTCTCACTCTCTCTCGCTATTTTTCTCTCCTAATAGAGATTATTTTCCCGCAATTCTCTGTGATATTTACAGGTAAAAATCTGTATTTAATTTATTCTATTTGATAGTCAATCAATCAGACACAGAATTATTGGCAACAATGATCGAAACGATCTGAGTATGTTTTCGATCATAACGCAAATGGTCAGTTTAAAAAATAGTAAAATAATTATAATAATAATAATAATAGAGATACATTCACTGGAATTTTTTTTTAGCAAGAGCTCTCAGTGATTGCAGTGCTTCTTTGCAAAAAATTTTTTTGCGCAGAGATTCTCAAAATTAATAATTCAACCTGCGCTGCTTTTTTTTGTTTTTGTTTTAACCATACACGTTCAAAAAAAAACTTGTCTATTTTTGATACCTAACAAGCACAAGAATCTCCTTTGCCATTATTCCTTTGGTCGTTGGTAAGTTTTATCTGATCGGGAAATTCATTGTAGAGTTCCACCTATTAATTCAAAATTTACATAATATTTAGTCCCTCAAAAATTCTCGAGTCTAAAAAATGTAAATTCACAAATACTCACCTCACTTTCTTGAGCTAGAGCATTTTTCGCTATCGTTTGAAAAGCTTGTTCAACGTTAATTCCTTCTTTCGCACTAGTTTCGAAATAGGGAATATTATTTTTCGACTGACACCACTGTTGAGCTCTTTTGGTGGATACCTAAAAGAAAAGTCTTCATTAGAAACGAAATAAAAAAACATTTCAATATTTAAAAAAAATATTCAAATTTAAAAGCCAGTTATTTTTAAATGATAACCAACGACGATAATGTATGTTAATACAAAATAAATTTTACCGCTCTATTTTCAAGTTCCACTTTATTTCCAACAACAACAAATGGAAAATTGTCTGGATCTCTTGGCGAGGCTTGTATTAAAAACTCGTCCCTCCAAGAGTCTAATGATTTGAATGATGTTGGTGCTGCGACGTCAAATACAAGAACACAGCAATCTGCACCTCGATAAAATGCAACTCCAAGGGATTGGAATCTTTCTTGACCTGCAGTGTCCCAAATCTAAAAAAAGAAAAGAAATTCCAAGGTGATTCTTTTTTTTTCTATTTCAAAAAGCGATATTTGAATTTAATGAATATGGATATTTATTTACCTGCATTGTAACTATCCTATCGTCGACCATAACTTCTTTTGTGAGAAAATCAGCGCCAATTGTCGCTTTATATTGATTGCTGAATTTTTTGTTGACATATTGGTTCATCAGCGAAGTTTTACCCACACCCGAATCACCCAGAATGATAACTTTCAGTAGTACTTTCTTGCGAAACGCCATTTTTTTTGTCCTATTTTCTGTTAGAAGTAGGTTTAAATAATAAATTCAACCTCCCCATTTAACGCTTTATCCTAACATGCATTAACGCTATCTAATTATTATTACGCACACTAAATGTTATTTGTTAAATAAATTACATTTAACTTTTCTAGAAGAAAAAAGAAAAGCAAGATTGGAGGTAACAGGCGCAAAATTAATATTCAAGCAGATTTTACAGAGATATTTTTACAAACAATGAATAATTTTTTGGTGAAATAATGAACAATTTTTATAAATAAATAAATAAATAAATAAATAAATATATATATAAACCAATGATCAATGTGTGTAGATATTAAATATTCAGACATCCCAATTTTTCCAAGCATTTTATGTGATAAATGGAAAACAGTGTGTTAAGATTTGGTCACCACGTGTGTAAAATAAAAGGAATCTTCAGTGGAATGGTTGAAGTAAGTGCATGCTAAGTGCAAAATTCAGCAGTAAAAATAAACATTCTGTGATAAATTTGAGTCATAAATATATTGGATATTTATAAACTCTCAAAGCATTCAATTTTAAACCATCGAATTTCAAAACCTTTTTTCAAATGAGTCGATAAAATGATAGCAACAGAAGCAAAGTATCAAACTTCATGTGTTCAAGGGAAAAAAAAGTGTCAATATGCTGACAAACGATTTTAATTGATAGAAATAATAAGATTAAAAAAAATAATTACATCAGCACTCGTGATATTTCAATGACAATCATTTTCTCAGGAATTTATAAACATTCAAACTATTTTAATTCTTTAGAAACAAAAAAAATTTTTTTTAACTATTTCAAAAAATATTTTCAAAATATTAAAAATATTTTTAACAATTTAAAATGTTTTAAACATTTGGAAAATATTTTTAATTTTAAATAAATTATTAAACAATGAAAAATATACATAAAAACACTTTCAAAACACGCAAAAAAAAAGCAGGAAAACAGTAATTACAGTAAATAAAATTTTAAGACTCTTACCTTATACACCAAGCTGGAGCTCAAGAAATGATGAAAGAAATTCAAATCGCTTTGATTACAAAACAGATAATGTCGTCAATACATCCTCGTTGTGATTCAATCTGGAAATGAATATCTGTAACAGAAAACACAGCTCACATGAAATGATATGGATTATATGAAGAATGTCATTAAAAAGAATTAATAAAGTATTTTAAATGATATAAACAAAAATCACTGAAAAAAAATCGCAATAAAAACACTCTAAGTCTATTAACAAATAAAAACGCGTGTGTGTGTTTCTAACAATGGAATACCTTGCTAACAACGCAGAAAACAAATCTTAGAAAGTATTGACAACTAAGTAACTGGTTAAATTTATCGCGACAGGTTAAATATTGTTGCAAACATGTTAATTAGAAGATTAATGCGTCGACAATATTGTAAAGGATTCAAGTCCGTTGATTCCAAATGATTCATATCAAACGTCAAATGGAAAAATACACCCCCTTTTTTAAATGACGTATCACTGAAAAATTCTTTCTTTATTACAAGAAAACAATAAGACGCACAACACGATTGACAATATTCAAGACATATTGTCAAAGCTCAGATAATGGGTTAGTTTAATTTGTAGTAGGTAAATTATTTCAATAAATGATACACGAGAAATATTAATTATTCTTTACAAATGTTTCCGACTTACTTTGTAATGATCAAAGCTTTTTAGAAACCTGTCAACACGCGATCTTACTACTTGAGGAACACTTTTGATTGACACAACAAGTCCTTTGGCAATATGTCGTATTACAACGCGAACACTTTATATCACAGTCAATTAAACAAGTTTAATGGTTGAAACTTTATGAAAATAACTTGAAATTTAGAGAAATTGGAGCAATGATAATTCCTACTCCAACAGTGCACACAAAGAAAATGGCGTTGTATGAAATCACGAGTGTAATCAACGATGTCGTCACTTGTTCACCAGGACTGGGTAGGTGGCGCGCGCAATATTCATGCGTAACTTAAGTAAAAGCAACTGTGACATTTGGCGGGTAATTTGAAAAGTCCTAAAGAATGATAAGAGTTTTAAATACAATAAAATAAATTTTGTAACTAGTTAATAAAGATTAGTAATTTTTTGTATAAGTAAAAATTAATTAATAAATAATAAATAAAAATTAATTATAATTATTAATTACGTCTCACATGAATAAATATTGTATAAATAAACTATTTTAATTAATTAATTAAATTTGCATCTGGAGATGTGAATAAATAATTTTTCAATTATGTAATTAAATCAAAATTTTTTTAAAAAAAAAAAAAAGGAAACAATTTTTTTTGTCAAGAAAAAACTAAATAAAATTTGTTTCAATTTAAAATTGAAAAATATAAATAAAAAATAAATATAAAAATTAATTTTTTCAAAAAATTATTTATTAGATAATTAAAAGTTAATTAAAAACACTTTTGTCGCAAAAGTAATAATGATTAAATAATAAAAAATAAAAAAAAAATTCATATTTATCTTAAAAAAAATAACAATTTTTCGAGAACGCGTATATTTTTGTAATCTACGTAAAACGTATAAATTTTACAAGTAAATTAAAAGTAAAATGTTGTAGGTACTCAACCTTGGTTCAACTTGAAAATAATGCATCAACACGTAGAAAGGAAGAAAGTGTATATGAATTATCAAAATGTGTTGGCTACAAATGTCAAAACACTAGTGACATTGGATAAAAAGCACCTTGAAAATTTTACTATTATAATAAAGATATTTTACAATAGAAGAAAAAAAACACTTACTAAATATAAAATTTATGGGCATTACTCACGGAATTTTTGTCAAAAAATAAAAGTGGACTGTGCACTGTGCTCTTTCGTTTATTGACGATAATTGACAAATTGCTTACGACAATCACAGCAGACAAACACAAGGGATCGCGCCCAGTTCATTTATCCCCCTTTTATATAATTCATTCAAAAATATATCGTTTAGAAAATTATTTGTGATATTTAAAAAAAAAAAATATTAAATAAAATTTTCCCTCACATAGGAGTATTTGATTAATTATCGAGATTTGAATACTTTTAAAAAAATTTATTTTTAAGAAAAAAATATAAATAATTAAAAGCCGTTTATCTAATATGGGATTTATGATAATTATATCAACTGGAAAAATTTTGATTGAATCAAATAAATATTCATTTAAACCAAATAGTTTTTACTTGAATCAAATAAACAGTATATTTGAATCAATAAAATTTTTGTATTTGAAGGAAAAATGATTAAATTTTTTAAAATAAAAAAATATTCAAATTGGACAGGAATAAAAATTTTGTCATACATTACTGAGACATTCAATGTCAAGTGTCAGAAATATAATCGCACGCAAAAAAAAAAAAACTAAATCAAATAGAAGACATGCTAAAGATTATTTATAACTAACATTTAAGTACAATTTAATATGAAAAATTGCAATTAAATTTTGTATATTCTTTTGTTTGTTGACTATCAATTTAATGAATCATAATTTGGCCTTCAACTTAGAACGAGAGTATTGCACGAAAATTACAACGTGCGATGGTGGTGTAATGGTCAGCATAGTTGCCTTCCAAGCAGTTGATCCGGGTTCGATTCCCGGCCATCGCACTCTTTTTTATATTTCACTTTTTTATTTATTAATATTAAATTCACTGTGAGAATTTTTATAAAACATTTTTATTTCTTTATAAATAATTTTAAGGAAAAAAAAAGAAATTTGCCTTTTTATTTCTTTTAAAGAAAATTGTTTATTTTAAAACAAATTCTTTTAAGAATCCTAAATGTTAAATAAATCTGAATTTTACCAACAAAGCTTTTGCACCTATACTTAAAAATAAATATTGTTCAAAAAAAAAAATGCTTCTTTTCTAATTAAAGATGAATTTGCTTTTTAACAAAACAACTTTATACCTATACTTAATAATAAATTTTGTCAGCAAAGTCTAATTGGCTCATTGGTTGCCTTACCCTTATCAAAAAATTTTTTTTCTTATAAAAAGAAGGATATCACGAGGGGCTATTCACTCAAATGTATACGCGTTCGAAGTTAATCATTAGACCTGCTGATACTCGAGAGATTTGCTTGTTTAGCAAGAGATCACGTAAAGAAGAAAAAGTATATATAGAAGAGGCAGAAGACGAAGTACAGCAAAAGAAGGGACAAAAGTGCGTTTAAGAAAAGTGAAACAAGTCACTTCTCATTGTCCCCATTCCATTCTTATCTTTCTAAATACAAATACGCATCCATTTACACGGACAGGAAAATCAGAAACAAGTCTATACGAATAAGTCAATAACGAAAATTGCTAATGTAAAAAAATTTACAAACTAGGTATATTTAACTGGAATACAATTTTGCATTGTTTAGAATAAAATAATTTTTTGAATATTTCACCTAATTCAAGAGTATATTTGGAAATAAAAACGAACTTGCGGAATTGTAAATAAATAAATAATAATAGAATATAAATAAGAAAAATTTAAAGAATAATTTTAATTAATTTCTAATTTAACACTGTAATACAAGAGGTATTAATTTAATACTCTCTAAATTTGAATCAGCTAAAATCCGCTGATTGGCAGCGAATAGTCGCTGATTGAAAAAGCTATAATTATGCAACTGCGAATCAGCGACTAACAACTATTTCAATCAGCGGAATACTCCATTTTAAAAATAAATTTATCTTCCTACGAAAATGACCGACGTTCGCCGATTCATGTTTCGCTATTTTATTAGCTGTATCCGCTGATTTGCAGTGAAAACTTTATTCGCTGATTCAAACAGTGAAATTTTAGCTAATTCAAATTTAGAGAGTACTAACTTTAGGTACTAAATTGCATTTTGGTTCTATTTTAATACCTAAAATCGATACTATTTTAGTATTTTCTTTTTACAGTGAAGCCTGATGCTTACTCTTTTAATTTGAATCAGTGAAATTTCACTGGTGAAATAGCTAGAAGTCGGTTACTGAATCATTTAGTGAAATTTTCACTGGAAATCAGTCATATATCACTGATTTCCAGTGAAAATTTCACTAAATGAATCAGTCAATCTGTATTATCGGTAATGGGTAAAACAGATTGACTGATTCATTTAGTAAAATTTTCACTGGAAATCAGTGATGTATGACTGATTTTTAGTGAAAATTTCACTAAATGATTCAGTAACCGACTTCTAGCTATTTCATCAGTGAAATTTCACTGATTCAAATTAAGAGAGCTCGGAGATCACTACTTTTAAGTTAAACTTCCATTCAGAAATGGAATAATAATAATAATAATCTAATAAATATAAATATTAACCATAAAATGACTGATAAATCTGTGATTCGTCAAATTCGGCAAAATCTGCAACGTGCGATGGTGGTGTAATGGTCAGCATAGTTGCCTTCCAAGCAGTTGATCCGGGTTCGATTCCCGGCCATCGCACACTTTTTTTATTGCATTTTTTACATTTTTATTTACAGAAAAAGAATTTTTCAACTAAAAGAGGAGTTTTTTTTCTTATTTTACTTTAAAATTGGAAATATTAGAAAAATTAAACCTGAGCATTACTTTCTGAACTGATTCTCTCTAAATTTGAATTAGCTAAAATTTCACTGTTTGAATCAGCGAATAAAGTTTTCACTGCAAATCAGCGGATACAGCTAATAAAATAGCGAAACACAAATCGGCGATCGTCGGTCATTTTCGTCGGAAGATAAATTTATTTTTAAAATGGAGTATTCCGCTAATTGAAATAATTGTTAGTCGCTGATTCGCAGCTGCATACTTATAGCTTTTTCAATCAGCGACTATTTGCTGCCAATTAGCGGATTTTAGCTGATTCAAATTTAGAGAGTTTTTGGCTCCAAAAATTTACTCCTTACTTTGGTTGCCTTTAACTTAATTTACAATGCCTGCTGAGGTGCTTTCTTGTGACTATCATAGCGTTACGTCATTTTTGTTGTGTGACGTTACGACTTTTGATATCACTGGTCTGTGCCATCTGCATGTATGCCGCAGCTGCAACTGTTGTCTGTGCGTACTCAACTACACTATTAGAGCGCAGGTTTAGTAGACACCCTTTTTAGCAAACTTTTTGGATTGTGACACAACGCAGGTGGTCTGTTTTCCTTTCGTAAAGCCACGATTTTTAAAAGACAGAGAATTTGAGGGCCACTGCTCTCCAAAAAATTGGAAAGTAAGAGAGAGACAGAGAGAGAGTTCTTTAAATCTACTTACTGTCTTTCTCTTACTGGCTGCCTATTATGCAGGCAGCCGGATGTGTGCAAGCGCCTTTACAGAAAAGAGACTTACTTATAGGTTTTTACTTTTGATAGCAGATGTAATAGAAAATGGTTCGATGGTTTGTACAAGGTGTTGACAAAAATGATGTGAATACACATCTAAAATTGGTCATCTCTGAAAATTCGTCTTAATAAAATCAATGACAGGTGTTACAAATAGGTGCTCAGAAAGAAACTTTCGAGGACCTGACATGGGGAGTTATGACCCCCATGACACCCCCCTGGATCCGCCAATGCCTGATGACAATATAGCTCATTTTGGGTGATCATTGGTTGATTCCTGTAACGGTACAGGTGAATCTCCACTCTACCAACCAGTCCGAATGAATCCGAGCTCGTTTGAAAATGGCGTGCATTTTTACCCTATAGGGTGAAAAACTCAAGCCCCATCGCTGTGCTTGACCCTCTCGAATTAATTGTCACAGCAAATAAATAAATTGTGACAACTAATTATATTAGCTGTATCAGCCAATAAAAATTGCTATCCACTGAATTAGTAAAAAATTTAACTAATTTTGAAGTATATAGTGACTCAAATTTTGCTTTTAAATTAGTATAATTTAACTAATTAATAGATAAAAAAAACATTTTAACTATATCGAATTGGTAAAATTGGTAGAGTGTTTCACTTGAAATCATGGTCAGTTATTGGCCTGGAGGGAGAATAGAGAGACAGATGATACACACACAGAACACGTGCCGACAGGTTTACAAGGCAAGATACAGATATAGGGTAGCAGAAAATACCAGATGACGAGTAAGCGGAAGTTAAGAAGGGAAGAGAGAAATAGTATTCAACCCCAATTTTCAATGTTTCTTTGACCCTATATCAATGTTAGAATTTCTCTGATTTAATGCAAAAATTTCTTTGAAACTTTTGTTTTTTTTGTTTGAAATAAAATTAGTTTCTTAAATCAAAACGATCTTTTCTCGGGGTGTCTGCTTCAGTTGCTTAAACAAAGTGTAACCTAATATAAATCTTATTCTACCACAAGAAACTATTTTTTGATTGATTGATATCCACTCCTTTAATCTACTAATCTATTCGGAGACAAAATTTCAATAATTCCGCATAATAATATTCTATAAAAACATATCTACAATGTAAAAAAATTAGGGAGTTAACGTTACTGCTCTCTAAATTTGAATTAGTATAGTTTTTCTACTAATGAAAGAGTGCGGATTCGTTTACCAATTGAATTAGTAACAGTTTTGACTTTTTTTTTAGTAGAAAACTACTAATTGCTAGTAGAAAACTACTAATTCATGGAGTAAATCGGCTTAATAATTTGAAATAGTAAAAAATACGACTTACTCCATAAATTAGTATTAGTTTTCTACTAAAAAAGAGTAAAAGCTGTTACTATAATTCAATTGATAAACAAATCCGCACTCTTTCATTAGCAGAAAACTACTAATTTAGATTTAGAGAATGGGAGTTGGTAGTTAAAAATCAATTTAAAAAGGGAGTTAATAATCAAATTAACTCCTTAAAACCAACTCCCTAGGCATAAAATTAACTCGTAAAGCATTAACTCCCTTCGCTTCAACTCCAAAAGGGTGGGACTTTTATAAATAATAACTTTTTTAAATAATAAAAATTCATTAAATGACTATTATGTCATTAAAAAAAATAAAATAAATAAACAATCAAATAAAAATTCTGTAAAGTGAATTTTCGGTTATATAGAAATTCTGAAATATATAAAACATTTTTTTTTGCAGCAAGAAAAATCATTTAGAGAGACGGAGAAGAAGAAGAAGAGAAAAAGATAAGAAAGAAGAAACAGAGAAAATGAAAGTCTCATATCTTACTCTCGAACATGTTGAGCTTTTAAAAGAGTGGTTGCACGCGTGCTCTCGCCAGTAGTTTGCAGACCTTTGGAGTGTAAGGATAGGAGATTTTTAAGAGACTCACTAAAATTTTCTGTCAATTATACCTAACCTTAAATTTAACTTTGTGTTACTTTGTGTCTAGTGATGGCCGCCTCAATAGATCAAGAATAAAAAAGAAGAAACAAATTTTTCTACCAAAGTGAACAAGTGAAAAAAAAAACTTCAAACTATAATTTCCTTTATTTCTTTTTTTTTAAGTGAACTTTTATGAATAGTGTATATGAATTCAATGTGAATATATAAATCAGTGAAAAATGAATAAAAACTAAATAAATGAGACTTGCAAAATTCGATTCAAAAGTGATGAACATTTAAAGAAAATTTCCATTTTTTTTTATTCAATTGGAGTGCTCAAATTTTTATTATTCAATATATTCTTTAATTTTTAAACTTTCAATTTGCTTAAAAATTAGTTTCATTCTAAAAATTTTAACCAATGAAAATTGTCCAGGAATCTCTCAAAAAATAATAAAAAGGACAAAAAAAAATAGGTATGTAGATTTGCGCAATCGCAATAGTTACAATATTTGAAAAATTTGATCAAAGAAATAATAATTTGTAATTTCATTCTAAAATGAATTTACAAATAGAAAGATTGAATCTTCATTTCATAAAATGTCTGCACGGTTGTGTATATGAGGGGGAGATGATCCGGATTCCTTATCACACTTTGCTAGGTGTCAGGTTACCGTCTTTATAAGAAAAGAGAAATTATTATGACCGCATATATAATAATAATAGACGTAATTAATCTCACTTTTTCGGGGTATTTGAATATTGTTTTAAAAATAGAACATTAAGTAATGCATTTTAAGAATTCTTAAAATATATATATATATATACACGCACATAAATAATATCTGTGTTTCTAATTTTAAATATATAATTGTTATATGCTGAAATGAAAATCAGAGATTTGTTTAAGTAGGTCAAATATATCTCCAAGTATATAATTCAATTTAATAAATTCTGCGCGGAAGAAAAGTTAAATTTACAGATCAAGTTTTTTATTTTTTAAAGGCCTGTTTAAGAAAAAAAAAGTTCTACAAATTCCTTTGTTCTCTTTACAATTATTGTATAGAATTTTTCATTTTAAATGATTTTGATTAACTATTACGGCTTAAAAAGTACACGTACGAGACGCTTTTAATTTAATAATATTCAACAAAAAAATATATTTAAAAGAAGCTATAAAATTGAGAAAATTTAATAATTTATCGAACCTGTTTTAATATTATTATAATTATTATATATATATATATATTGAACAAGAAAAAATTTTTCCTTTTCTCAAAATGCGAATGCAGTGCGTAACACTGACTGCAGTCTCCATAGCAACCACGCAAGGACAGTGCTTTTACACCACTTGAAATTCATCTGCATCAAAAGCCACCCCTTTTATTTTCTGTGTCAGTAGTGCATTATTCTTATGAGAAAAAAAAGACCCATAAATATATCAAGAAACAGATTTTAAGAAAAATATATTTTCTTTTTCACTAAAAACTTAAATTAATTAAAAGCTTATGCTATAAAATGTGTAATATATATGAATCATATTTTATTGAATCGATCATTTTCCTTCATTATATTAGATGAAAATTTGTTAATCTTCTAATTTTTATTTAAAAATTTCTCAATTCAATTATGAATTATGATAATTTTATCTTTATAGTTTAGATGAAGTCTTATCTCATTTATTATTTTATAACAAATAACTGCAAAAATTGTTCGCGTTTTTTTATTACTTCCAGGGTATATTTTTGAGAGAGCCTTTCTGTGGTATATTCTAATGTTTAAAAGAAGACATAAAATAAAGAATATATATATTTCGATCTTTTATACACATACCGTCCTCTTCAGGTTCACATACCGATAAAAAGTGACATTATCTAGAAAATAAATTCATTAAAGCTACAACGAGTTGATATTATAAGTGAATTATAAGTAAATTAAAATAAATTAAATTAATTGAAAATAAAATTTTAAACAAGTTTCATTTAAATTAAATTATTAAATTTTTACATCTTTAAAATAATAATAAATAAATAAATATTTCAAAATTTAAATAATTTTGATGAGAATATTTAATAAAAATTATTTGACCGTAGATAAATCTTTTTAGCAATTAATATTTTCACATATTGTATCGCACGTTTATGGTAAAAGACCCCGCCCACACTCCCGTTTTTTCTCTCTTTTCTGTATCTCTTAATTCTTTTCTTTTACTACACATCTTTTTTTTTTCTTTTTATCCTCCTTTATATTTCCTTTTCTTCATATTATGTAATCTTTTAATTCTGTTTTTGTAAATTTTATTTTATAATTAATTTCATAATTCACATTTTAATTCACTTAAATATTATTAGCTTGGATGCTCTAATATATATACTTTTATTTTCGAGATATAAGTCTTTTTATCGGTCTTCTCTTACACTATTATATTGTTAGTATATATACACCTACACAATAAAAAGATTGGAGCATGTTGTGAATATTTTTAACATCAACAACCTACCGTAAGAAGATCGTGTAAGAAATATAATAAATAATAAATAAAATAATTTATCATTGCAACTCTATTTATCTCTCTATATGTAATTTTCGCTAAAAATCCTAATTCCAGAGAAATTAATTACTTCCATATAAAAATTTTACTAATATAAACGTTCAAAAATTCAAGAAGAACAAAAGATGAATATATTTAAACTAAGAATTTGTTTTTTATATATAAATATTCTGAAATTTTTTTTTAAATTCTTAAATTAAGAATCTATCATTTTTTTTGGGGGGGGGAATCGATTTGTTTTTACTATTTGTAATGAAAATAATAAATATTTGATGCGAATCTACAAAACGGAATCTGTATAAATTCAACAGACAATCAAAAAGAAAACATATATCTAAATAAAGATATATAAATATATGCTTTAACTGATAAAGTCTGCAGTATAAAGTTATCAGAGGGATAATGTAAAAGTTCAAGATTCACATTAACAATTTTGTTTCCTTTAGATACTAAACGGTACAATGTAAATATTTCTCAGGGCAATAATTAACGTAGATGATCCTATAAAGTAGAAATAATCTGGACAAGGGAATATACAGCTATATACGGCGTGTCTGCGACCTTATCAATATTCTCGGAAATAGCCCGCCGTTTCTACAACTGATGATGAACTGCAAGTGTTAATGACGACATGAATAACTTGAACCGCGCGCTTACCGTGCATTCAATTTGTGTGCGCACGTAAAGTGTTAAAAAGCAATGTAGTAATGATTATATACTATAATAAGAGGCGCGTGCCGGAGCACACTCTCCAGATTATTTTTCCACTGACTATATAATATCAGATATATCCTATACTCATCAACGATAAACCGTATTTCTCTATTTTTGTTTTAAAATGCAGAAATATATGCAATTTTATTTTTAAAAACTATTTTTATATAGATTTTAATTTAAATAACTTTAAATATAGTGTTAATTACACGAAGAAAAATGAAAAAACAAATAAAGTAACTTTTATTATACTTTAATAGTAAAACCGTAACTATCCGCAGTTTCTGTATGCATTTCTGGCAATTTTTCCTCCAGAAATAGTAAAATTTACTCCTGAAATAGTAAAAATTATTCCGGGAATAGTGAATTTTACTATTTCTGAAGTAAAAATTAACAGAAATGCATACAGAAACTGCGGATAGTTCCGGTTTTACTATTAAAGTATAATAAAAGTTACTTTTTTCGTTTTTCCATTTTTCTCCATGTAGTGAAAGGATGACCTCAACTTTTAAGAGTCAATGACTTGTCAAAGGGTTTATCTATTACTGTTATTGAAGACAATTGTCAGATATATGAATAATTTCGACCTATAGAAAATCGAATATTCTTTTCCAATCAAAATCGAGAACTTTGATGGAATTCGTTATATATGAATTCAAAAATTTTGAAATGCAATTCCATAAAAGAACGAATTATGACGAATATATATGTATATTTGCTGAAAAAAATTGCTACAGCAACTAAAATATTTGCCAGAACTGATAACAGAAGGTGAATCAAATACCGTATACGGAAAAAAATTTACTTGATTTAAATAAACGGTTACTTAACGATAAAATAAATATTTATAATTTTTATTTGAATTAAATAAATTTAATAAAAAAAATTTTTGTATTTAAATCAATAATTTATGTATATTTGAAACAAGTACCATTTAATCGTCACAAATAATAATTATTTAATGTAAATATTAATTTAATAATAGTCAAGTAATCGATTATTTGAATCAAATAATTTTTTTTCAGTGTAAGGTGGTTTTATTTTCTTCTAAAGAGAAAGAAGAAGAAAGAATCACACAACTAGAAGTTAAATATAGATTATACAGTAACCTTTTATTTTATTCGATCAATGTGCAATGTAACTTATTGCTATATAGAAATTTGTGCATACACATGTGTTTAGTCATCGTCAGTACTAGACATTTAAACGCTGACAGAAAATGGAACATAAATTTATTACTCTCCCCTGACACTGCGGTTTATTTAAATGTTTTTTAATCCCTTTTTCTAACAGTTACGCTTGGACTGTTTGTCTCAACCGGAATATCTACTTTGAGTTGCATAGAGGGGGATACAGACAGTCGAAGCCTTTAAAAAATATTCATTGATAATTTAATTGAAAGAAATAATTGATTTCCTTATTGCAGAAATATTGGCATTAATGGAGCAAGTCCACATTGATACTCTCAAAAAATTTGAAAAGGAAATCATTGACAATGTTTTTGTATATAATGGAATAATTAAACCACTTAGAATTGAAAATATTCTTAAAGAAGAAGATGTTAATGCAATTGTAAATGGGACAAATACAAGAGAAGAACAAATTTCTAAATTATTGGATATTCTTACGCGGTATAAAAATTTACACACGAATAAAAATTAATATGATTTCAACTCAATAAAATACATTTAGATAAATGTATTTTATACTAAAATTTAAGAATATATAAATAGTATATAAATATACTTAAAAAAAATGTTTCTTTACACAAATAGGAGATTTAGTTTTTTTTTTTATTTTTGTTAAAAAAATTAACAAATAAGACATAGGATGGAAATTAATGTACTCACTCTTTACAGGTGTGGACCATTTGCCTTTTCAGCATTCATAAATTCATTGAAACATCATTACAGTTGGATAAGTAATAAAATTGAACGCCATTTAGAAAATTCCAATATGTCAGGTTACAATAGAAGTCACACTAACGATCTTCCATCATGTCCAAGATTCACTGTAACAAGAAAAGAATTGGTAAATATTAATTATAAAAATAAATTTTTAATTCCAAATACCTATATAGATAAATATTTTATTTTTATTATATTATTAAAATATGTTACAATTTTTTAATTATTTTCAATAAAATGAATATTTTTATTTCTGCATATGCCAGGAATTCTTTTGGGTAAGTTTTTTTTAACTAGATTAAACAAAAAAAATTTCTAAAATCTTAAAAAATAAACACGTTAATAATGAGAGTGTATGAGAGAGATAAAATGTCCAAGAGAGACAGACAAAAAAAACTAGACAGGAAGTTAACGAGGGAGGAGGGAGAGAGAGAGATTTCCTCACTCATTTGTTCTCAATTTCTTTAATATTAAGATTAATTAGAATTCGATAGGAAAAAAATAAGTTTTAATTTCATACATGCAGTTCCCACATTAAATATACTTTTAATAATTCACATTTTTTTTTATTATTGTATAAATAATTACTATGAATAAAAATTAAATTAACATATATATATATATATATATATATAATTGTTTAGACAATGCGACTGAAGCATCTTTTACACCTATTAAGACCAGGTGGTCATTTAGCTGTTTATGGATTAAGAGGAATTGGAAAAACATGTCTTATTGCAAAAACATTAAAGGAAGATAAAAATTTAGTTGCAGAATTATTTCATGTATGTATAAAATATTTGAAATTTAATTTAAAAAAATTTTTTTTAAATAATATTTTTTTGAAAATAAACTATATATATGCATTTTTAGAACGAAATCTACTGGATGAATTTTGATTACAATAATTTGGAGGATAAAAAAATTGAAGATGAAATATCAAATCAACTAAATGCTCTATATCAAAAATTTAACTGTTCTGTTCATCCAACTCGTCAAAACTCAGAGTCACTCAAAGACTGTTTTATACGCTTCATTAGGAATTATTTAAATAAAAGGGAACATCAAAATGCTCTCTTAATTTTAGATAATGTTACTAATGAATTAATTGTAAATAATTTTAATTTTGGATGTAAAACTTTGATAATAACAGATGATTTTAGCGTCGTTAAAAAAATGGAACCATTAGAGCTTGAGGTATTCAAAATAAAATATAAAAAATTATACATTTTATACTAAAAAATTTATAAAACATATATTTAAAATCTAATTTTAATAATCCATATATAATTATTAAGAAATACATTACAGATTTCGAGTGGTTTTACTGAAACTGAATCTCTATCGCTTTTCGCCAAAATGTTGGATGTTACGGGAAATCTTCCAAATGAAGCTAAACAAATTCACAAACAATGTAAAGGATTACCAGGCCTTATAGGAATGATGGTGGGACAATTTAAAAATTTTAAAGAGCAAATGGTTCAAGATCCAACATGTTGGAAATATTTTTTGAAAAAACTAAACGAAGAAGAAAAGTAATAATTTATAACAAAATTTTTAAATTACTAATGAATCATTATTAAAATTCACTAATATATTCTTACATCCTGTTTTTATTTTCAGTTACATGCAAACTGTAAGAGGTACTTTTAACTTGTGCATTGACAAACTTCAACCAGATGAAAGGAAATATTTTTATGAATTAGCAGTATTCAACGACGATATTAACATCATGCCAATGGTAATTGTTTACAACTGATTGATTTATGATAAAAATTTTTAATAATTTTAATAATTTCTTTTCAGACTTTAGAGATTCTATGGGATATGGAACCATGTGCTGTAATTGATTTGATGACCATTTTCAACTATAAAACTTTAGCGACTAAACAATGGAATCAGGAGTTAAATTCTTATATTTATGGAATTCATAACATGTTATTGGATCATTTGCGAAGTGAATTAGGTCCAGAAGCACTGAGAGCCAAACATGAAGCTCTAATTGAAAAATATAAAATCAAATGCAATGGCGATTTTTCACAATTACCACTTGACAATTATATTCATTCCTTTATAGGTCATCATTTGGAAAAAGCAAAATTATTTCATCTTTTTGATAAAATATACCTTGATTTAAAATTTATTGAAAAGAAAATAATTCACAGCGGTGTAAATAATTTACTTGTTGATATTGAAAAATATAAAGAATACATAATTAACAATAATGCAGATAATAGAGCAAAATTAAATTCATTGGAAACATTTATAAGAGCAAACGTAAAGAATTTAACAAAACATAGGGAGAAACGTTATTTGAATATTATTCAATTAGCACTTCTTGATGAAGGTTTAATTTCAAATCTTGCTCGAGAAGTTGCAATTCAAACTAAAACCGAACATCCTTATTATTCTCGAAAATTATTTTTCGATAATGAAATAAATGTTGAGAATATATTTACCGAATGTATGACATATTCCTTGTCGGAAAACATTACAAATCTTTGTTTCACCAATAAACACAATTCACTACTTTGGTCAACTGAGAATGGCGATATTGTTCAAAGAAATTTTAATACTGGACAAATTTACAATTTTTATGATCTGAAAGGCGAAAATATCAAGAAATTAATTGTTTCTAATAATAATCATTTTTTGGCATTAACTCAAAAAGGTGACGTAAAACTTTTTCTCCTCGATGAAAATGATTTAAATGGAGAAAAAAATTATAAATACAATCAATCGCAATATATTGCATTGTTTGACAATAAAAAGAATGATGTTAGTTTAAAAACATTTCGCTTGAATAATGAAATTATTGAAGATGTAATTTTTACAAATGATGATTTAATTGCCGCCTGTACACAACAGGGTACAGTGATTTTGTGGCATCAAAATGGCAATCAAATATGCCGAATAAATAAAAATAAAGATTCATTAAAGAAAATAATCAGTTCTAATTCATTGAGAAATGAGCTATTTCACACTTTTACAAATAAAGGTATTCTTGTGACTTATATTTTTGATAACAATCGTCTAGATGATATTTCAATGTATGATCCTCTAAGGACAAATTTAAATCGAGATGTTGATATAATTTTTTGTCAACAACTAATAACTGAGACAAATTCTTTAATAGTGATTACAAAAGAAAAAGCTATTTATCTAAAATGGGAGCAATCAGAGGGTGTGTTGGAAAATATAAGAGTAGAATGTGAAATAATGAATAATTCCAAGGAAACTTTTGAAAATGCAATTATAACATACGATGAACAATATTTAATTATTGTAAAATCAAACGGATGTACGGAAATTTGGAATATTCGCAATGAATTTAAACTTGTTACATCATGTAACTGGAAAGTCTCTAGTTTAGATACATTCTGGATGAAAAATGAAAACTATCATCTAGTAAGTTATCTTTATCCTCTTATTTAGTAAAAATCAAGTTACAAAAAAAAGTTTATTGCAAATTTTAATAACCTGCTTTGTTTAAGCTATGCGGAAAAGAAAATTCACTAATTTACAAATGGAAACTAAATCCAAAAATTGAAGAACTAACACCTGTGCGGTAAGAATTTTAATAAATTTGCCATAATTTGGAAATAAAATTATTAATATTAATTATTGTTTCTGATTTTTAATCAACAGTGAACCATTATTTAATGCATTTATGAAACCAAAGGGACAAAATGACATAGTGGCTCATCGGACAATTGACAATAAATTAATTATAACTGAAGGAAATCATACATCATGGAAAACAAAATCTGAGATTGATTTACAACAAAAAACCATAAGCAAAATGATATTTAGTAAGGATGGCAAGAAATTAATTTACGATATTATTGAAAATCAAAAACAAACTATTTTTCTTCTTGATATTAATAGTGGAATATCTAAATATATTATTAAATTGAAAAATATTGCAAAATTTATATGGCCTGTAAATAATTTTACAGTATCAAATATTGTTATAATTGTAGAAGAAAATCAAGAATTAAAGGTATTTAAAATTTTCATAAAAATTATAATTTACAAATATCAAATTTCAAAAATACATATATATATATATTTATGATTATAGATTTGTATCTACAGCAATGAAAAAATAACTACTCATATTGTGAAAAATTTTGGTTCTATTATTGGGGTCCATGAAATTGATACTAATCAAATTTTAACAGTAACAAAAGATTGTAATATAACCTATTGGATGGTTGATCCTAATAGTGGAGAATTATTGTTTAAAGAAGATGAAAATAGCAAAATTAAAGTAATTAAGAGTACAATGAGTAAAAATAAAACATATTTAGGTATATTGACGAAAAATAGAAAACAAATACTTATCTATCAGATAAAAAACACTCAAGAAAATGAGAATGAAACACAAGCTTTCATTAAATTTTATCATAAAATTCCTCAATTTAATGCTGAAGTCACTTGTTTTGAATTTTCGACAAATGAAAAGTATTTAGCAATTGGATTTAAAAATGGCAACATTTCGGTAAGTTACAAAAACGATACATAGTTTTTTTTTTTCTGAAACAAATTTATAAAAACATTCTTTCAAGAAAAAAAAAATATATAATTTTCACAGATTTATGACATGAAAGAAAAAATGGAAATTTACACGGCTCCTCTAAATTTAAGTTGTGTGAAAAATTTAATTTGGAATTTGGATTCATCGATTCTAATGTTGGAAAATTTAGAAGAAATTGCTTTATTAAAAACTCCGAGAAAAATTCAACCAGTTAAATTAAATCGTAAAGGAATGTGCATTAATACAAAAATTGTTGATAGTTTTAATCAAAAAATTATGGCTCAAAGTAAAACAGATCAGTCACTATTGTTACGAATAATACCAAATAATACTGCCAAAGTATGTGTATCTGAGGATTTTGAAAAAATTTTAACAGTTGATAATAATGGATATATCAATATTTTTACACCGTTAATGATATCTCAGATTAACAAAACTCTTAAAGAGAAATGCTCAGCAATTTGAATTAATCGCATATTAATTCTTTATACAGAAAAGAATTAAATATATATACACTGAGAAAAAGAATAATTGAATATTATTACTTTATAATAATATTAATTATTAATTATAATAATCACTAGATATGAATATTTATTTAATTCAATTAATTTTTTTGTCAGTTGTATTTTCATCAGAGGTTAAGGATTTAAAAACTCAGTGATACTATTTTTTTAATTGTATCGAATATTTGTATAAGAGATTACTGGAATACTAACAGTATTAACTAATTCATCTTTCGTATTTTTTTGTATTTTAATAATTTTATGTTTAAACATTTTTTAAAAACCTTTAATAATGACTGATTATGTTTACAGAATAATTTTAGTATTATTGATAATTCCTAAAGTTCTCAATAATTAAATTAAAATTAATTTATATCGATAAATTAATTATTTTAATAACTTTGGGATCATTAAAGACTCCTTTTTTTATATAAGTTTTTACTAATGTAAGTCATTAGAAATTAAATTCTCATTTTTCTATTTATTTTCATTTTTCATATATAGAAATAATAATGCATTCCAATATTCCAGTAATCTCAAATTGTATGTAAAATAATTGACAATTTCTACTCGCTAAATCTGAATTAGTAGAAATGTTTACTAATTTGAATTAGTAAACATTTTTACTAATTCAGATTTAGAGAGTAATATGCTAAAGTACTTAATGTTAATTTTATACGAGAAATTCTAAAAACGAATTTAATAAGTGTCTTATATAAAACAAACAGAAAGAAGTACTTAATGCATATAATGCATTTTTAAAATTCGAATCATATATATACATATAATAATTTCAAAATCGAAGAATATATAGTTATTCGAGTGATAAGTAATGATTTTTTTTTTAATAATAAATTATTATCAATTAAAATAATCAATTTAAAATATTCATATTGAGATTGAAAAAGGTTGAAAATTTTTTTTAATAGGTACACTAGAAATTTATATATATTATATAATCTATATAAGTATATATGCATGAATTTAAATTTCTCTTGATTATTGTAGAGTAGTGAAAATATAAAATATCCGATATAAAATTAATTTTAGAGTTAGAAATAAATATATATTTATTTGAATACAATTCAATATTTATCCAAAACAAAAAATTACAAAAAATTACAAAAAAAAAATTGTTTCATTTAACATTTATACTCTATAAAACCATTATTTATCCAATGGTTTTTTAAAAATTAATATGTAAATAAAAATTCTTATCACTCACTTTGATTGATAAAAAAGAGAAAAACTCTCACCAAAAAAAAGAGAAAAATTATCAAATCAGAGAATTTTATTATGTATTGTAGAGTATTCTTCGGTTTCGAAAGTATGATACTTTTTTTTAAATCAAATTTTTATTGGAAAATTATGTTTTTTAATATACATGTGAATTTCAAATAGTATATTAAACATATCTAAAATTGTCACATGTGTGCTCTTAAAAAGAAAAATAATTTTTATAAAATATCAATGGACCAAGTTTTCATAAATACGAGTGCTCTTAAAGAGGACAATTTTTTATATAAAATAGGTGAAAACTATGAGTTAGCAAATAATATGTATGTAAATTGACATTTCGTAAATTTTAATAATAGCTGTGTATATTGTAATAGCAAAATGTGATAGTTACAAATATTTATTTTATTTATTTATATAATTTATAATCCTCACAATCAAAAGTTATATATATATATATATATATATACATTAAATGTTTTTTATAAGATAAAAACACATTTCTTCCAAGAGTACCATACTAATTATTAGAAAAAAAATTGATTGGAAATTTTTTATAAATTAAATAAAATAAATGAAATGAAATAATAAAAATAAAAATACAAAACAAAAAAATTAAAAAAAAAAAAAAAATTTTATATATAAAAAAAAATCATCGAATGCTTTTATATGGCAAATGTGCAATTAACAACTGATTGTTAATTAAATAATTATTTGTAATCTTTAAAATGAAGTTTTTGAGATTATATTTGTTTTGTAGAAAAATATATAGTGTACCTATAAAAATCTTTGTTTCTTATTTCATGTATCAAAAATTCCTAAAGTATATAATTCACTTTCATTTTCGCATATCGTGAAAATTTAATCAAGCTTATAAATTGCAAGAAATACGGTTTAATAAATTCGCAATTTAAACATTCATAAAATTAATATGGTGCGATGGTGGTGTAATGGTCAGCATAGTTGCCTTCCAAGCAGTTGATCCGGGTTCGATTCCCGGCCATCGCACTCTATTTTTTGAAAAATTTTACCGATATTAAAATTTCTTTGTTTGCTTTTATTGCGTCAAAATCAAATTTAATATCATAAAAAAAAAGTATTTCATTAAAAAATAATTTTAAAAGTAGTGCAAATTTTTTTCGAATACTAACAATTAGAGTAAACTTTTTTTTCAAAAACACTTAATTATTTTTACCATCAAATTAAAAAATTTATTTATTAGTTTTTTTTTGAGAAATTCAAAATTTAAAGAACACTAAATTATCAACTGTTGTAAAAATTTTTCAGCAAAAATAATTATTTGCAACTTTAATTTCATATAATTAATTAGTACATAAATTAACAAAACAGAAAAAAGTGAAATTAACAAATTGTTAATTAATTAATTAATTCAAAAAAAAAGAGATTTTTCGAAAGTAAAAATAATATCGACTATCGTTAAAGTAAATTACTTTGAAGTCATTCTGTTTTATCAATTGAGTAAATGTTTCGTCATCTCAATAAAACAGCTAAAGATCGCGTAAGTATGCTGACCTGCTCAACAACAAAGCTTGGTTCTGGTTAATTCTTTAGTTAGTGTTTGTGTTGTGTAGTGAAAAGCGTCGTAGTCAGAATTAGTAAGCAATAGTTTGTAGAAAAAAAATTAAATTTTTTATACAAAAATACCAAAATGCGCTCAAGTAAAAAGTAAAACCCAATAGGGAAATGTTTTAGCAGGAGGAACCCTTTTTAAAACCTGGTAAGTTCTAAATTTGTACCTATAAGACTATGGAAACAAATAGTATCTACAGTGAGTTCGCGAGTTTTTTTCCCTTTTTTTTTGTTCTACTCCAATTTTCCACGTGACATTGAAATACGCATATTTGCCAATTTAATTACACGTATTTAATAGGAAATTAATTTTAATCAAATGAAATACAACTTTTCATCGTAGATGTCATAAAAAATTGCAAAAAAAAAAAAAATAAGAGAAAGATTCACGTCAACTAATCTTCAAGAGAACAACAATTTGTTAGAGTTGTTTTAGAGTTTTTCCTTTTAGAGTAAATAATAATAATCGCATCAATCCTAATGCTTAACAATACATGATAATTGTTGTGAAATTGTTGATTATTAATAATAAATAATACAAGAATTATATTCCGTTACAGAAAAAACAGATATGAAAAACGGTAATGGAGGAAATTCACTGTGATATTTTAAGAAAATTTCATAAAGCAATAATCGACGATGTCGATGTTAATAATGAAATAATAAAACCCCTAAGAAAAGAAAATATTCTCGATGATGAAAATATCAAGAGTATTTTAAATGGAAGAACGCTTAAGGAGAGGGCATCTATATTGTTGGAATTATTACCGCAGTATGTGAATTTTTTTTTTTTCAAGAAGATACAAAAATTAATTAAATTTTTTTATTTTAATTAGAATACTACTAATCTCGACAAATAAATAAAATTTTTACAGATGTGGACCCTCGGCATTTGATGCATTTAATCAAGCATTAAAACATCATTATTGTTGGATTAGTACACAAATGGAAAAATATTTAGAATTGACACAATTGACATCATGTGCTGCGAGTCTTTGTAATGATCTTCCTCCTGTACCACGACTTCTTGTCACAAGAGAGGATAAGGTATGTAAAAATTTTCAATAAATCAAATCTATAGAATCAAAATTTTGAATATACTAATATTGGGATCAAAATTTTGAATAATTATTTAAAATCATACGAAATTATTCAAAAATAATTGTTAATTTGAAATTATATTATCTAATTAATAAAATCAATTTCTATATTTGCAATCATTTGGAATTAATTTTGGTAAGTATTCACATAGAAAACAAAAAGAATTCAGAAAAGAAACAAATGGATATTAATATTAAAAAAAAATTCTAATTTCTGTAGGTATTAAAGTTCAAGCAGGATTTAAGAAAATTAAAACCTGGCAAACATCTTGCTCTACATGGCTTAAAAGGATTTGGTAAAAAGAGTCTCATTGTGATAACATTAAAGGATGATAATTTAGTTTCAAACTTATTTCGGGTAAATTTTTTTCAATTTAATTTCCCGCTTATTAATTAATATTTAAATATTACAATTATACCTATATTACTATTTTCAGAATGAAGTTTACTGTTTGAAATTCAGTTATTCTGACAATAAATTACAAAATCGAGAATCTATTGACGAACGAAAAATTGATGAAGAAATATTAATTCAACTCAACGTATTGTATCAACGCATTAAAAAATCTGATACACTTCCAACCCCATTAAAATCCGAACCACTCAAAGAATGTTTAATTAGATTAATTAAATTGCATTTCTGTCTTAGACAACATGAGAATGCTCTTCTAATATTAGAAGACGTCTGTTGTAAGAAAATTGTTGATACATTTAATTTTTGCTGTAAAACTCTCGTTATTACTGACGATCTTTCAGTTGTAAAACACAAGCATCCGATTATTTTCAAGGTAATTATCATCAAACATAAACAATAATAAATTTATAATTATTAAAATGAATTAATTTTTGATAGGTACATGATGGATTCACAGAAACAGAGTCTTTGTGTTTATTTGCCAAAGTTTTAAATGTTTCTGTGGAACAACTTCCGCCGGAAGCGAAAAAAATTCACGAGGAATGTAAAGGAATGCCTTTACTTATTTCAATGTTCTCGGCACAATTCGAGGACTTTAAAGAGCAATTGATTGCAGATCGTGCACGATGGAAGTACTATTTAAAATGTTTACGAAAACGAGATCCAGATAATAGGTATAGTAAAAATTCGATCAAAAAAAAAAAAAAAAAAAAAAAAAAAAGAAAAATTTTAAATGATAATCTATTGAAAATAATTATCCTCTTTCCACAGAGCAATTCAAAGACGAACAACAATCTTCGATATGTGTATTGAAAAACTTCAACCAGATTTGAAAGAACTATATTTTGAATTATCAATTTTTAGCGAAGGTGTAAACATAATGCCGAAGGTACAACAAATTTAAAATTATCAAAAAAAATTTTTTTAAATAAAATTCATTTCACTAAAAAAAAATTTTCTATAATTTACAGACTTTGGAAATTTTATGGGGCCTAGAATCATTTGATGTGGACGAATTGATGTTGACACTTTGCAACAAATCACTGGCAGCTAGACAATGGAATGCAGATTTAAAAAATTATGTCTACGGTATTCATGATCTTTTACTTAGTCATCTTCGAATGAAATTATCGCCTCATATAATGATAGAAAAACATCGATCGTTCATCAAAAAATATCAAAATGTTTGTCGCAATGATTTTTCAAAATTGCCAAATGACAATTATGGTTTCTCCTATATTGGTCATCATTTGGAGCAAGCCCAATTATACGATTATTTTGAGAAAATCTATTTAAATCTCGAATTTATTCAAGCGAAAATAATAAATGCCGGCCTAAATGATTTATTGATTGATCTTGAGAAATACGAGGAATATATAAGTCGTAGTTATAGAGATGATCTTTTACAAAAAATCAGTGATATCGAAAAATTTCTCAAGGATCATATGAGTATTTTTACAAAACATGGAATTCGAAATTGTCTCGATATCGTTCAAATAGCATTATATCACGCTGAGGAGGGATTCATTATGGATCAAGCTCGCGAATTAGCGAGTAAACGTGCTTCAAATCTTTATTTATCTCGCACAAAAATACTCGGACACGGTAATATTTCATCGAGTGAAAATTTATCAACCGAATCAACAATTGATTCCTTCATTGAAGATGTATCAACAATTTGCTTTATAGACGATCCACATTCATTGTTGATAGCAACAAAAAATGGCGACATTGTCGACAAAAATCTTGCTGTTAAAAAATCCAATTACATTTATGGATTTCAAAAGAAAAAAATTGTCCTATTGGTACTATCACATCTTGACAATTGTTTTCTTGCATTAAGCGATGAAGGAAAGGCAAAACTTTTTTCTCTTAATGATGAAGAAAGTTCCGACGATGGTCGAATTGTTCAAAGTCCAAGGGAAAAACAAAATTGTTGGACAGGATTTTTTAGCAATAAATTAACGCAAGACGATAGTTTACATACATTTTGGATTGAAGATGATCCCATTTCTGATATTACATTTTCGCCGAAAGATCAATTTATTGCCGCTTGTACGCCAAAGGGTACAATACAAGTGTGGAAAAGAAATGGAGAAAATTTTCAAACATTATCAGTAAAAAATAATTGTTGTTTGAAAAAAATAACATTTACATCCGATCAATATCCAAATATTCTATTGCATGTTATGGATGAAAATAAATGTGTTTTAATAACACACGAATTTGCCAATAATAGATTTGAATATAAATCCTCCTATAATCCACAAATTTGTCAACGTGAGGAGAATATGAAGATTGTCTTTTTTAAAGGTTTACCATTAGAAAATAATTCTTTGATTTTAGTGACAAAAAATAAAGCGGTGCACATTAAATGGCTTCAATCGGAAACTCATAATCAAATACACAGTTTTATGAAACAAGAGAAAGCGGAAATTGATGATCCGAACACAATTTTTATCTGTGCAACAGTAACATACGATGGTCAATATTTAATTACTGCTAAATCTGATGGGATCATTAATGTTTGGGAGATTCACAGTAGTTTCGAGCCGATTGCAATTTATAAGGGAAATGTTTTTTGTTTGGATACCTATTGGAATAAAGGGGAAGGAAAACATCTGGTAAGTTAGTTTTTTTTAATTTTTTTTTATGGAGAATAGAATCTCTAATATTTCTGTTATTTGTTTTAGTTCTGCGGCAATGAGAATAGAATAATACACAAATGGGAATTAAAGGAAATCGAAGTACCGAAACCTTTACAGTAAGATATTTTTTTCCTACAATCTTTGAATGGCAAAGAAATTTAAAAATTAATTTAAATTAAAAAATTTCTTTTTAACTATAGTAAACCATTATTCACCGCTCTAATGAAACCTTTGGGAGATGATTTGGTTGCGAGACAAACTTCAAAAAATACAATAGCTGTGATAAGAGGGAACAAAAATAAATGGAAAATGGTAGCCGAAACAGGATTAGTCGAAGGAAAAGTAAACACCATGATATTAACTCCAGATGGCTCTAAATTAATTTACGATATTGTAAAGGAACAACGACAAGAGATATTTGTACTTTATGTTGATACTAACAATTCTATTCGTATCTCGTCACGAAAAAGAACATCGAACTTTATTAAAATTGTAACCAATTTTGAAAGTGGTATTGCAATTCTTTTTCAAGAAAATGATAATGCTCTGAATGTAAGTTTCTTTACTGAATTCATTAAAAAAAAATTATTTTTAATAATTAATTTTAAAATTCTTTTTCAAGGTATGGCTGGAGGCGAAAGTATGTTACATAGTACAAGATACTGGTAATGTGATGTCAATTTACGAAATGGACAAAGAAGAAGTTTTGACAGTAGCAGAAAATTTTGTAATTAATTATTGGTACGTTTGTGGCTCCAATTGGCTTTTAGCAACTAGTCAAAATTATGGAACTTCAAATTCAACTGCGATAAGTAGCACTTTGAGTGCTGATAAATCATTTTTAGCTGTGCTTAATGATGAAAGAAAAGTGGTTGTGCTTTACAATATAAAAAAAGATCTCCAAGTGAATCCAGTTCAAGTGTCAATTAACGTTTATCACGTGAATTATAATTTTCAAGAGAAAATTACCTGTCTCGAATTTTCCGGTGACGAAAAACTTTTGGCCATTGGTTTTGAGAACGGAAATATTTCTGTAAGACTTTTAATTTACTTTTTCAATTATTAATTTAATAATAAAATTTTATAATTATTAACTAAAAATATTTTACTTATAGATTTTTGATGTGAATGAAAAGAAGGAAGTGAACTCGGTTTCTCTTCACTGCAGTCGAATTATCGAAATGTATTGGGCCCCAAGTTCATACAATGTACCAATTTTACTGTCAATTAATGCCGAGGAACTTATTTGGTGGAACGTTGCACCAATTATCGTGAAACCTATACGAAGACAAAATCGAATGGGTCGCAGTATCAGTATGCAAAGTGTTCCTAGTCCAAGATCAAGCTTTAAAATGAAGAACAGTCAAAGCAGCGAGAGCAAGTTAAGTATAGCTACTATCGGTACGAATGGAATTGAAGGCATGAATGTTAATAATAACATTAATGTTGAAAACATTAATGGAGCTAATAGTGGCAAAAACATTATTAATGGCAAAAACATTAATGGCGAGAACATTAATGGCAAGAGCATTAATGGTGATAGCATTAATGGCAAAAACATTAATGGAGATAATGTTAATGTGAAAAACATTAATGGCGATAACATTAATGGAAAAAATATTAATGGTAATAACATTAATGGTGGTAATAATAATGTCACCAATACCAATGGCACAAATGGTGTCAATGGTACTGGTAATGGATGCCAATCGAGCAACAATAATGGAACTTCTATTACTACTGCACTCCAAAGAGTCGATTTAGCTAAATACTTTTGGCAATCGAAAGTAGAAAAAGTAGATAATTCTGCTATGCTATGTTTAGTTCCTTTGCCATCGTGCAACGCAAAAGTATGCGTTTCCGAAAATTTCAATAAATTTCTGACAGTAGACAATAATGGATACGTCAGTACATTCGAGCCATTTGGTATATTGGATATTATATAAAAAAAAAAAAATTTTATAAACTACTCAGCATCTAATTTCTGAGAAGTGAAAAAAATCTATTGTGATATTCCAACAGTTGTTTCATAAAAAAAAAAACAGACATCACAGAAGTCTGTTAATTGGAATCAAGTCTCTTGAGAACGCAAGTTTCTTTAAAACAAGAGGTTGACTTTAAATTAGTCAATTTTTGATATAACAAATACAATTTTTCAAAATAAATTAGAAAAGTAGCTCAAATTTTTTAATAGAAGAATAAAATATTTACTGTCAAATTCTAGTCGCCTCTGTGAAAAATTAACACTTTTCAAGAAATTTGATTCATTTTCATATAAAAAAAAACTTGATAATATAAATATATTATACATATATATATATAATACGAAACAATGCATTCCAATTCTTTCATTCGGAAGATTTGTGAAGTTTTTCGTATTCGTGAAAGAAAGTTTTTTATACAATTTTTTTTTTTATTCAGAAATAATGAATACTCAGTTTAGGACAGGTTTTTTTTATATATTATAATATAGTTTTTTGAGAACAAACAAAAAAAAACGTGATTTGATCTTGTGATTAAATGGGATAAAAAGCGAATACTTGCTCAATTTTATAATGTTAGGAAATATTACAATTTTTTATCCGCAAGTCATCAAGCACTGCCACAAGCATTTAAATGAAATAAGAATTTTTTTTATCAAATAGAGAATCTCAAAGGTTAGAAAAAATATTTTTTTCAAATATTTTGCATTTATTTTTTTTTGCTATTACACTCTAACAAAAAAAAAAAAAAAAAAAACGAAAACACGAATTTTTGTAGTTTTTGTATACGATCTCAAGCAATAACCGATGACTGTTTTTTAATATACTTTACAATTTTTCACACTAAACTTTTTTTTACACGCTATTAAAATAATAAAAAGGAGCAAATATTGCGTAATTAATTTTCATCTGTAATTCAGTGATTTACAACTGTCTTTGTGCTATTTAGATTATTTTTCAAAACTGTTCTGTGCTTATTTAGAATTTTAGGAAAAATAATATTTTAAAAATCTATTGTCATGACTGTATGGTAATGAATTACCATATTATTTTCAATTTTATATTTCTCTTTCAACTGTCCTGAATGATACATTATAATTACGAATTTTTAAGTTGTCGAAAAATTGATAAAATCCCCAATTGAATCGAATATTTTTCGTACTTAAAAATACGTTTTGCTAATATTCAGAAAATGAAAGTGCCTTATAGGTAAATTTTTAACATTCCTAATTAAGATTATTATTATTATTATTATTATTAATGTGCAAAATTGAAAATCTTCAAGAATTTTTCCAGATAAATATTTTTTTGAAGACAAAGTTAATTTGTTCATTATTGTCTAAATATTTTATACTGTATATCAATAAGTCGTAAATATTTCATTGTTAATTTAATGTTACTTAACATTATTCAATGTTATTTATTATCAACATTGTCTTTAAAAATATTTTTCTTGATGAAATTCATCACTTTTCTGAGTCTGAGATTTCTTGCCATTACAAAAATTAATAAGTCATAGATTTATATCATATATGTACTTTCATATAAATATATATATATATATTATAGAAGATAACTTTTTATAAATGTTTTTTAATAAATGTCTTTAATAAATAAGTAAATAAATATATATTATATATAAATAAATAATACACTACCATAATGTATTCAATCGAACAGGGTTCCCAGACACAGAAAAGTATATTGAAGAATTTTCAATTTTTAGTATAAATATTTTTTGTTTTGTTTTTGGTGCGGAATCTTTCGTCTTTTCATTAAGCAAATTCCCTGTCAATTCAATGCAAAATTTGTTTTCTCTTCTATTTTTATCAATTTTTTATATTTCTCAAAATAACTAGGACATATTTTTCTTTTTTTTACTATTAAATGATAGATTATACAAAATTATAATATTAACATAGTTGGAAAAATTTTTGTATTGAATTGACACATGGAATGCATCATTATGAAGACGGAGAAAAACGATCAAAAAAATTTTTTTCTGTTATGATAAAATGCATATTAAGCCATAGAATATTTTTTATGGCCGATACAATTTGTATCTCAAGTTGTGATATCTATGTTACCATTTCCATTGAAATACTAAATTTACAAATCAAAATTTAATTGAGAATCAATTTTTACAATAGATTGTCAATTGATAATATGCTGATTTATGAATAAGGCATTTGACTGTAGATGGAAACATAGTCTTTTTTGGAAATTGCCAAATGATAAATGTTGTGCAATTTATCGAACAAAAATGTCATTGTCAAAATATATTACAATCTAACTGATATATTTAGGCATTAATTTTTTTTTTTTCTAATTATATCAGTTAATTTGTAAAAAATTTATATATTAAAGCAAAATAGAATTGGGAGAGTGTAATACTCGCGGAATATTTGATTTTTAAAGTATAAATAATTAATTATGTAATTATATATATTTGTTCTTAACATATGTCATATAATGTATTTTACATTAATTATTATGTGAAGAAATACAGAGGATAAGTGATTGAACTTCTTTTCATGTGCAAACAATCAAGTTCTAATCAATATAATATCCGATTTGTAATTTTTGTTGCTTAAAAAAATAATTTTATTGTGTTTAAAAAAATTTTATTATTTTAAAAAAGATTTTATATAAAGTTAATTTAAAATTCAACAAAATTTTTAATAAATTTGTTCATTTGGCATAATATTTGAATTTGAAATTACTGCGATAAAAAAAATTTTGTCTCTCTGTTTCGAGACAATTATAAAAATAAAAATTATCCTCTGCATTCCCTGTTAACCCACAGCTTCCAAATGTAATCTTTAAATTAAGAAAAAAAAAAAAAAAAAAAGTAACAATGTGTACTTTGTAAACCATTTTACTCTGCCATTAAATTTTAATTTATAAATGGCTCTTTTTTATCAAGCCAGCGTTTTTGATTTTTTATATATAATATATGAATAAAAAAAAAGTGTATCTATCGACACAAATAAAGTTGTTTTTCTTTTACGCATTCCTTTTCCTCAATTCAAAACTGGTTTTTTAAATGTCAAATGAGAATAGCTAAATATAAAATTTAGCCGGAGAATTTTCAGATGAGAATTTATATTATTTAAATCAAAATTTAGTTTGTGTGAACAAAAGTTAATTATAAACCTATAAATCGATGAGAAATTCGAAACGAAACTCTTTTTTTTTCAAGAAAATTTTGATTAAGAAAAATTATCTAAACAACGGAGACAATACATTAATTTAATTTCCGGAAGTAAAAAATTTTAATCTAAAATTAGATTACTACCGGGTCTTTCGTAAAGAAAGACTTGGCACGTATATTAAATACTTTGGTTTTGAACTTTAAGTCAATGCCAACCAATGCCAATGTTACTTACAGTTTTTATCATATAATCCGAGAAAATGGAAATTTTTGATTTATCAATTGTTATCGTAAAAAAAAATTCAAGTTATCTACTGCAGCAAAAAGACAAATTTTCATGAAAATTGTACTTATATATATCACTCGTATATCGTATATCTCTTTCCACACTTTTAACTGATATTATCAAAGAGTAATTACTCTAACACTTGAACTGACAATAAACTTATAAAGAATAAATTATTACCTATATTTTAATTGTTTTCCAAAGATAAGCTACAATATTAAACGAACAACAAGAATGATTCACTTTAATTAATCTAAATAAGCGGATTTCTATGGAATATTTTATACATGAGTCCAATTAAAAAAAAACTCATTTATAAATAAATAGAAACAACAAAATATAATTTTTCAAGTTTCAACTGTAAAATTCAAGTCACATTTGAATTTTGTTTCTCAAAGAAAAGAACATAGAATTCGATATTAAAAATACTCTAAAATTATTATCATCAAGGAAATTTTCATTTCAAAATAGAACAATAAATATTTTTTGAAGTTATTCAACTTTATTGAAAAAGAAACAACACCCTCAAGATTACGGACCTGTCGTTCAAGTTCTACGGAAATCATGGCAAGAGGGGAACATCCAACTTGAGGAAAGAGGAAACAAATTGAAGTACGCCAGCGCAGTCACAATTTTTCAGTTGCAGTGCGCGGGTCGAATTTTGTTTAGAATTTTGATTGCTTCTTATTAAATTTAAATTATATTGTAGTTAGTGTCAGTTTATTTTTTTTTAATTTAATTTTGTCTAATAAATAAAAATTAATATAAAATCATGTCTCTCGTGTATAAAAATTCAATGAAAGCAATAGGAAAAATAGTGCCAGGATCTCTACAGCCTTTGTGGAATCATCCAGCTGGTGAGTGGTGGAAAATGGCGTGACATGTGCTTTAATTTGTCGTCTGCTAAATTTTTATTTTTATTTTTTTTTACAAAAAACAATTCCTTGCTTCCGTTTTGAGACCTTGATAATCTGCGAAAGCCAAATAGGCCAAGGTCGCAAGAGAGTAACACGTGTGTTAAGGTCATTCAAGAATGTTTTTTTTAAAAATTTTTTTTTTAGCAGATTAGTTTTTAAAAAATTTATTTTATTTTTAGATTTCTGAATGCAAGATAATTTGGTTACAAATAAAAAATATGTTTTTAATTACGGTTCATTGACTTCTCTGATAATAAATAATGAATATTATTATTAATTTGTTAAACTTAACAAGAACATGTCAAAAAAAAAATTTTTTTTCTTTAAATTAAAAAAGAAAATAGCTTTTGTTAAAATTTTTGTTTCAATGAATATTTTCATATCAAGAAGGAAAATTTAAATATTCTTTTGAAATTCAGACTATTGAAAGCTGTTTAATTTGAATTGCTAATTAGTTGAACGTTACGTTGCAATATTAGTTAAAAATTATTTTGTTTTATTGAAGAAGAAATAATTTTTTAAAGCAATGTAATAATTTTTGTTTTAATTTCAGGTCCACAAACAATTTTCTTCTGGGCACCGGCTTTTAAATGGGTTAGTTATGACATCTCTATTTTCTCTCATGTTACACCTTGATTTCTTAATTGTATTTCTTGCAAAATTTAAATCTTGGCAAGTATTTTTGAATTTGCTTATTCGCAAAAAAAATGAATCGCAAAAATTTACATATTAAATTTAAAAAAAAGAATCAGTTTGTAAATAATTTCCTAAGTTAAAAAATTTACTTGATTTTTTAATTTAACTAATTATTTAATAATTAATTATTTTAATTATTTTTAAATAAAACTTCTGTATTAGCAAATAAATGAATAAAACAGTCGAAAGTTCTTAAATTAAAATAATATTAATATTAAATGCTTTCTGTAAATTTTTCCAAGGTTTCATGAATTATCTATATATACAAATAAAAGACATGTGACAATACTCGTCGTGAATATCTTGAACAGAATAATAAATAAAAATAAACTTTCACGGCATAAAAAATATCAAAATCAGTACAAAATTGTACTCATATTATGTAAATTTAAAATGTCATTCTTTTATTAGCATCATGCAATAAGCAAAGAAAAAAATATATATCAAAGTTTGATTTAAATCGACTGAAAAATATTGCGTATTAGTTTTATAGATCAATGGGTTATAAAAAGAAAACCAATACTTTATAAACAAAGTAATCGCAAGTTGTAAATGTCAATATTTACAGATCAATAAAAATCGAGAATTCTGTTTGAAAATAAATTATAAAATTCTAAGTTTTATCAAAGAAAAAAAAATACAAAAATAATTTTTTGTATTTTCTATTTAAAATAAATTAAAAATTTTATTGTAGGTATTATTTACATAAACAAAATTTTAACAAAAGTATTTTCATTATTTTTATAGCGAAAAACTAATTTAATTTTTTTTTTTTTTACAGGGACTTGTAATAGCAGGACTTGGAGATATACAAAGACCAGCAAGTCAAATTTCTCTTGGTCAAACAGGAGCATTATGTGCAACAGGAATAATTTGGACACGATACTCTTTAGCAATTACACCAAAAAATTGGAGTTTATGTAGTGTTAATTTTTTTGTCGCGTGCACTGCAATATATCAAGTATTTAGAGCTATACAGTAAGTATATAAAAATTATTAAATTATATTTTTCAACGCAATTTTTTATTTTTAAATGAAAATATTCCTGACACCATCTAATGAAATATATAATTATTTATTTTTTTTTAGATATCAAAGAGAACAAGCAGCTTTATTAGAACCAGCAACAAATGGGAAATGATGACAAGTTTCCAATTATTAAATTAAAATTCAAACCATATAGGAACCAATTAAATCAATTTTAGAAGAAACTCGTAAAACAAATTTATTTTCTGGTTCTCTCGTTATACCAGAAAAATTATTTGTTTTCAACGAAATGCTAAATCGTTCAATAGCAAAAATTATAAAGATACTGATTAACAATTAAATAATATTTTTACAATTATGAATTAAGTTAGAAAATTATCAACTTCCAAACATTCCCAGTAAAGCAGAATTTTTAAATACTAATTATTATATATTAAATAAATTGTAGTTTGTAAATTATACAGAAATTCTAGATTTTTATTTTAAGGACCGAGAGAAAGAGAGAGAGAGAGTTATGTACATAACTGTTATGCTCTATGCATAATGTTATGTTTGGCTCAACAATTGTTACAAAATAGATTTAAGTTTTTGCTGGGAAGTGTTGTGTTAGTAAATTAAAAAAGATTGTAAAATATTATACATATTTTCGAAAGTACCTGTACTCATGTGTTAATGAAAATTATAAATGGGAGTGGAAAATTTTAAAGTGAGATACGACTTCCAAACTATATTTTCAGTAAGCAAATTATTTAAAAATTGAATCTACAATTTAGATTTAATTGAAACTAATGGCGCTGGTTAATAATATTGTAAACACTGAAATTATTTTAATTGAAAGAATCTATTGTAATTATAATTCGAACAAAATATACGTGTATTTTTGTTACAAAACCAAATGAATTTTTTTAATCAATATTCCATTCAAGTATTTTAATTAAATATTAATATAATAATAATTTAATTTTTAAAAAAGTTTTTTGAAATTTTAATAACCGCTTGAAAAAATAAATTAATAAAAAAAAATAAAAACTTTAAATGATTCAATAACCTCTGGCGGGGAAACCGAAAAGCTCAAACGTAAACAAGTTTATAGGTTATGTTTAATGCAAGAAATCGTGAAATAAATAATCTTTCAAAATGTTCATATATGTTAAAAATAATATATTATATTCTTAAAATTTAAAAGGAAAAACAGGTAACTTTCAAAACTATATAACAAAAGTGTTAAAAAACTAAAAACTTGTGTTGATCTCATATAAACACTGTTAATGTTTTTATATGTATTTTTTTTAGCAAACAAGAGATAATTAGAAATTAAATTTTGAAATAATTAAAAGAGATGGAGGAGAACAATATAGAAATTGATCTAACAGATTTTGTTGAAAGTACACCTCCTAAAATACCCAAAACAAATTTTACTAAAAATGACACTGTTCAAAGATCTTCTGAAATTACCAAAGTGGACCTAACATCTGATAATTTTCCAGATAGTAAAGAATCGGAAATTCTAAAAAACGATATAGCTGAAGAAATTTTAGGCGAAACATCCGAATTTACTTGTTCTTTTAAATGTAAGTTTTCAATATTAATTTTCTTTATAATAATTTAAAAAAAAACACTTTATTTTATTTTTTAGCTGCTTTTAGTAAATTGAAGCAATCAGAATTCTTTAGCACTGAATTGCCCCAAAGTTCACAAAATGAAGTAACAACTGGAGTTCCTAAGAATAAAAGTTCTACCAACTTCGATAATTTACTCATTAATCCAAAGCAGGTAATTAATTTCAAGTGCGATTAGAAATAAAATTTAAAAAAATACTATAGACAAAAATATTATTTTCTATTTCAGAGGGGAAATCCTTTAATGAAATTTATAACCAACACTTCCTGGGAATATTCAGAAATTATTCCAGATTATGCAGTTGGACGAACCACTGCTATATTGTTTCTATCGATAAGATATCATCAATTAAATCCTGATTATATTCATGATCGCCTTAAACAATTGGGCAAAGCCTATAATTTAAGAGTTCTCTTAGTTCAGGTAATATTCTCATTTTTTCAATTCCAATTTTTTCTGTTTTTCAAATTTAAGTTTAACAATATTTTTAACAAATTATTTGTTATAAAATATAAACAATAGGTGGATGTTGCGGAACCTCATTATTCCCTAAAACACTTGACAAGAATTTGCATTCTAGCCGATTTAACTTTAATGCTAGCCTGGAATGCGGAAGACGCTGGAAGAATTATAGAAACATATAAAATTTATGAGAAAAAACCTCCGGATATGATTATGGAAAAAAATGAAACAGGTGTTCAACAACGTGTAAGTAAAAATTCTAATTTTTAAAAAAGACAAATAATTTTCAATAATTTTCGAATATTTTTAATTGATTCTCTCATTTTTTAAATTACAGTTAATAAATGCACTAACCACTATAAGATCTGTAAATAAAACAGATGCCATGACCCTATTAACAAATTTTGGATCAATATCTGAGATAGTTAAAACATCTGATAAATCTTTGGGACTTTGCCCTGGAATTGGACCACAGAAAGCAAAACGTATTCATAAAACCATACATGAAACATTTTTACGAAGTGATAGTTAATTTTTTAAAACGAATATGTAATAAAATTTTTATTTTTCTACTATTATTTGTATTGTAATAAAATTGTGAAAAACCAATAAATGATTTACTCTAACCTTCTATGTAATTAAAAGATAAAAAAGATTTTCTTTGGATAAAAATTTCTTCTTTCAACAATAAATAAAATCATCACCAAATAATTCTTTATCTAAAAAATTTCAAATAATTTTCATGTTGGACATAAAAGGACCAACATTTCCTATTAGATATGTAATAAGGGAACAGAAATAAAATCTGTTTACTTGGAAAGTTCTAAGTTTTCAAGGTGGTTCAATAAACATAGTTGTACATATAAGGCAAAAAACATAATATAACAATACATATAAAATAATATAAATATGAAAAAAGAAACAAAAATAAAAATGTACCTTGATTTTTCCAAGTGGCGATGGGATGAAATCACTTCACTGACTCGAAAAACGAAATCGGAAAAATTAAACTTAAATTCTCATTCTAAATTGTAATAAGCTCACGTATACTAACACACTTTCGCAATTCTAATAAATCGGCATACTAATTTCGAAGTTATTCGTAAAAAAAAATTAAATAAACAAAATTAATAAAAAAAAAAAAAAAAACCGTTACAATGAGAATTGTGCACACGGACGAGAATTTAACAACAATAAAAAATGGCGGCGACCCTACAATAAAAGCCCGGTAAACGCTTTGATCGAATTAAACTCGCAATGATTTACTTTGTCGATTGCATATAATCACGATTCGGTACTCTTTGTATCATTACTGACGAGAAACGGTTTAAAAATCGCGTGTTATGTCGAAAAACCAAAGAATATTGTTCATGTATCTACAACCGGCACCGGTGCAAAAAAATTTGCAATAAGCATGACAATCCGCGTACGCAATAAATTACTTCATAGATTTCATATAATTGCGTTTTGTAACTTTTTTTAACTCACACACGAAAATATAACATAATAAACTCAAATTTTACCGAAAAATTTACAATTCCGCGAGATCTGAATATTATATTTCACGCGCTTAACCGGAACTTTTCACTATCGTTGCCGTTGATGCCACCGAAATGTCCAAAATGGCGGACCGTCAGTGCGTCGCTGCGAACTGAAGGAACGCTATTGGTCGAACTTCGCGCCACAATTTGAAAACACTAGAAATTATAATTTGAATATTTTATTGAAATTATATTTTATTTTCATTGATTATAATTAATAATACAATTTAATAATACTTTTCTTTAAAATAATAAATAAAAATTAGAGTAATAAGCAAAATATGGTAAACTAAAAAATTGTTTTCTATTAGTGAAAATGTTTTTCATTAATGTAATGCTATTAAACGTTCATTATATGGATTGTTTTATGTAAAATAAAAAGTTTTACTAATTTATTGAAAATGTAAATTTCTATAAATTTAAGTTCTTCAACTTCTAGCGGTTTAAAGTGTGACCAATGAGGAACGTTAAATTATAACATGCGCAACTTCAACTGTTTATCTCGAAATCAAAATTTAAATTCGATATTTCGATACCGGAAATGGATTAATACGCGTGCGCAATGTGTGTTTATGTGTGCGTTCAATATACATGAAAATATACATAGTTATATATACACATGGTACAATTATTATGCAGTTTGACGATATTTAACATTAATTAATTAATTAATATAATTGTAAATTAATAAAATGGCCGATGAAGACGTTAATGGAGATTCTGACGAAGTTCAGCAAGAGAAATCACAAAAGAGAACAGCAAAATATGATAGTGGAGCTGCTGATTTGGAAAGAGTTACAGATTATGCAGAGGAGAAAGAAATTTCATCTTCTGAAGATTTTTCATGTGTAAGTTTAATAATTTATTATTGGAAAATATTTCTTTATCACTTTTCTAGTTATTGAAATTAAAAATTAGTTATTAGTGATGTGTATTGTTTAACAATTGAAAACATAACCTCAAAATATTTTCCTTATTAAACTTTTAGTTAAATTTGACTCTTTTAAAAGTAATATTTGTTAATTTATCTTTGTTAGAGAAGAAGTTACTTACTATTATAATTAAACAGCAATTTAGAATTTGTTTTCTTATAATTTTTGAACGTTTTGCATTATCAATATTTTTGTTATTTTTTTATATAATTCTTTGTTTTTTTAGAATTTAGTAAATAAAATTCTTTTGTAAAATAATTGTCAAAAACAATTCCTTTAATTAAAATCAATGAACCGTATTGTTTTTAGGCATTAAGCATAATTGGAGATCGTCGAAATAAGGAAGTAGCTGAGAAAAAAGCCAAGGAAAAGGAACTTCTGAAAATTTCCATAAAAAAAGAAGATGTTGATCTAATTGTAAGAAGTATTTCTTTTTTTTTTAAACTATTTTATTATTATTTAAATTAAAATCTTAATAAAATTATTAATTAGGACCGAATAGCAATATTTAAAATTAGAAAATATTAAATTATTCTTTCTAAAAATTAACTTTCAGATGAAGGAAATGGAAATTAATCGAAATATAGCAGAACAAACTCTTAGGGAACACAGAGGCGATGTTGTGGAGGCACTTGTGACTTTAACCAATTGATCGCAAGCTTCGTATACGAGATGAATTATTCTCGTTACTCGTTACATAAGTTAATTTATGTTTACTTGTACAATTACAATTATTATTAAAAAAAAATATTTAATGAAATAGCAAACAGATTTTTACAGTAACTTAATTATATATTTTTTATTTTTCTATTAATTTTAATTCTCAACTGTTGGCAATTTGTTATCAGTTTTCAAAAAAAATTTATTAAAATTTTAATTAATAAAAATTCTCTTTCATCTATTGAAAAAAAAAATTAATAAGTAAAAATTATAAAAAGCCAAAAGTTTTCTTAGGAGCACAATATCTGAAAATTATGGATTTGAGCAATGAAATAAGGGAAAGGTATCAATAATGGATCTCCAAATTTTTTTTTTTATAATGAAAATGTAATTTATTCGATGCGGTGCATTGACTTAAAATAAATGGAAAAATGAACGTTTGTATGAGCTGGTGTCGATGAACAATTACTATGAATCATGAAAGACCACTGCGAAATTGTTCATTATACAAAGAAAAAGCTTTTTTTCAATTTAAATGCATTGTACAATAGGAGGTGTACAAAAAAAAAACAAAACAAAAATTAAAAACAATGTTCCAGTGGTAGTCCATGAATCACCCGTAAATGTTTTCAATGATGAGGTAACGCTTGTCTTAATTGTACTTAGTTTATCAAATTATCCAGTCATACACTCATATATTCTTGCTGCAGATCGCTATCGACGATAAAATTTCTTTTTTTTTCTCAAATTGTCATTCGTCTAACATCGGCGGTTCATTTGAAACATTGAACATTATGAAGAGTTTCTAAGAAATTATCTCGCAGTCCCAAAGTGTTAATATAAACAGAGAAACATTGAAACAAATCTTTAATGACAATATTAATAATGCAAAATTTTCCAAAAAATTTTAAAATCATTTTTTTAAATTCTAACTTAAGATTATTCTTCCTCCACAGTTTTGACTAAAAATATACACAGAATTCGATCAAATGTTAACCAACATAAATTTGTCATTATTTGATAGTACTGTAATTTTTTTCCTTGATTTTTTTTCCAAAAATAGATCCAATTGAAAAAATCAACATTTCAAAAAAAAAATAAAATAATTGATTTTATCAGACAAAAATTATTTACAAAAAAAAAAAAATATAAGAAATATTTAGAAATTCATCTAAAAATATTTCTGAAAATGAATTTATAAATTGTATTTTAATTTATTCAATAATTAATTTATCAAAATTTTCTTTTAATTTAGAAATTTTCTCTTGATTTATTTTTTTTGTATTTGAAGAATCTAATTAAATAAAATGTTTTTTGTAACAGTAAAAAAATGATAAACTTATGTTTTAAATTTTTTTACGAAAACAAAAGGAGAAAAAAAACATTGATAATAGAATTTTAATTCTGTTATCGATTAGTTTACTGTTAATAAAAAAATTATCGCAGATATTACAATCTGATGAAAATGGGCTTTAAGAAAAATAATAAAGAAATATAACTTTGGGACTGTTCGGCAAATAGTTGCACATGTTTATAGATAACTTCACTGGCTGCCAGAATTGTTAAAGGACGCGGCAATAAAGGATCGAGAACAGGAGGAGAGACGCAGTTGCAACTACAATAAATGGACTTATCACAGAACACGTATGGCATTAATATTCATCGTTAACATAATGGTAAGTATTCGATATTCGATAAAAACTAAGACGGGGAATCGGGAAGCCAGTTTAGTACTAAAACGATGATTATCGTTGCCTCTGGTTGCCCATAATTCAGTTTAATTTTTCTTTAAATACGCAATTTTTTCCGATTTTAAACAGTTAATTACAGAAAAACATTTATATATATTTTTTTTTATTTATTTATTTATACTCTTAATCGTAATTGACTAATGTTTACGACTTGCGTACTGTTTTTTTTTGTATTTTATTTTATTTTTAATATTTTAAATCACTCCTCAATTACTAACAATTTTTTTTCACAACGTTTACATTCAAGTTAGAATAAAATTGTCGGCTATTTTTCAAATTTAAGCAATTTTTTGGGAATTTTTTTGTTTGTTTTTTAAATAAAAAACACAAATAAATAAAAAGAAACACCCAACAAAATTATGGACAACCCTTAATTTAATTTTTAAAGAACACACTGTACTAGAAAATTCAAACTTTGCCCTCGGGTAGGGAAATAGTTATTTTGTTCTTTCAGATGAAAAAAAAGTAAGTAATTTAGAAAAATTGATTGACTTTCATCCGATGTGAATATTTCGGATAATTGAAAAATAATTTGATATTTTTATGCTGTACAATTTTGTTTCAGTAAAATTTTTTTTTTGTCTTTTTGAAATAATTGTCAGTTTTTTCGAACAATATTTATGATTTTTTTTTTTTTTTTTTTTGATTTGATTACGTTTGACAAAGTGTTTATCATCGAGTGACAAGTTTTTATTTCCTCAAGCATGAATGAGACATTGTTTTATCATTAAATGAAAACAATTTTTGTATGTTCAAAAATCTATGGAAATAATGATATTACATTGAAATAACATTCATCATTAAATTTACAATTGTGTTTTCTCACACAAAGACAATTTAATCCATTGATACAAGTTTAAGACTAAACGATTTAGAAAATGTGGAGAATAATTCAAATAAATTTCATTTTTATAGGAAAAAACTTTTAAAATTTGGTTTATTATTTATTGGAAATTTAAACAAAAAAAAAATTGATTACGATTAAATTTTTGCGTAGAAAAATGTATTATTAGTTAGAAAAAATTATTCTTGAAATGACAATTTGAAGAATTGAAAAAATAATTTAATTTTCTCCTAAATGATAATTATTTCACATTTTTTGTTCATAAATCTTGTTAGTCAATGGATTATTAAAATATAAAAAGTAAACCCGAGGATATTAATTATTATTGTACAGTGGTAAAAAAAATCGAACCAGCCGCTTAGCTAAAATTCTATTATAATAAGAGTCGAAAGAAATATAAAGATTTGCCTAGAGATATTTTGAAAGGAGTATCGGGGATGTCTGCAGGTCAAAAATATACAAAAATACAGGGGGGGGGGGTAGTTGGGGCATATGGGGAGGGGTTTTTTTTTATGGGGGGCACATGTCGCGCAGCTTTGAGAGTCATAACCGCAGTAACCATCATACATATCGAGAGAAAAAGAGATCATAAAAAACGCTAACTAGAATCATTTTTCCATGTTGGAAGAGTTGTATGATTTACAATTAAAAATCACTATCGGTATAATAAACAAAGTATCTAGATCTCCCCTCACATCGTCGACGAGAGATGGGAGTTGATTTCTTTTTTTTTTTTCTTTTTTTTTGATCCATTTGAAAAAGGAACAAAATTGGTTACAATTCGTCTGGCCGACGCCTATCACAACTTTTTTTTTCTTATTTTTTTTTCTTTTTTTAATTATTTTGTTTGTCGTCTCGTGGCAACATTATTATTTTTTTTTTTAAGCGAGCTTCTTTGATCGTCTTGGTCCTCTGGTGGTTTTTGGTCCATTCGCAATTTAACGCCTACGAGAGTCAAAGAGCAATGAGGGTCCATTTCGAGTCTTGGACATCGATTTGTGACACGTCTACGTTGTCCTTTAAACGAGGATTGATCACGCGCCACACGAAGAGAAAAAAATTGATTACAAAACCGAAGTTTTCTTCTTCTTCATCGAAACTGTTCCTTATTAAATTCGCCACTAACAACACTCACAAGAAGAAAAAAAAAAATTCACACACATAAGAGTCCTGGGGTGCGTGACAATTTTTTTTTTTTGGATCTTCATTTGGGCGCGTCAGTTTCATTCCTTCTTTATTGTTTCTCTCTTCTTTCTTCTGTTTTTTCCTTTTTTCTTTTCGTTTTAAGTGGACCAATAGAATGGCGCACTAGGAAACATTTATTTAGCACTACGAAATATCACTGTACATAAAAAGTCAAGGATGTAAGAGGGGAGGGGGTGATGTGGTAGTCGTACCCGGAGTTAAAGGTGACTGCTTTCAGCTTTGTTTAACTCGTTTCCGCGGCGGGCCAATTGGTGGTATTTGTTGGGTGGCAAGTGCACGAAATGCCTCCGCTATCAAATGGGGATGAGAACTTATCATTGACTTAAACCCCGCGGTTTCCATCACATCCGTTGCATGTCTGAAACAAAAAATTCAAAAAACGCTTATTATTACAAGAATTAAAAGACGAAAAATAATAGAAATAATAAGAAAAGGTAATTTAAAATGTAAATAATTTGAGTTTTTTAAATTCTCAATTCTAAATGGTAGAAAAATAATTTTAAAATTATTTTTATTAATTAGAATAATAAAAAAAAAAAGAAAATACTAACGTATTAATGAAGTCTATGGCTTGCGCTTTTAATTGATCGGCGCTATGAAGATCAGCTAGAATAAGAATGTCTGCCGCATTCTCAATGGCTAAGCTTGTGCAGAGAGCCTCTTCGCACATTACTTTCAACCTCTCAAGCGCATATTTATCTGCGGCTGCTAATAAATCGTCTGCCATCTTCTCCAAATTTGTTGCTTTTCCAGTGTAAATAAATCGCAACATTTCCCTTAATACCTCGTGATCTACGTCCGTAATGTCGACTCGATTTTGCTTTCTCTCCTCCATCTCGTGTTCAAACATCGCCGAGAACACAGGACTTCGTGCTGAAATAATTTTTTCTCAATTAATTCAAAAAAAAAAAAAATAAATAAAAACTATTCATTACCTCATTTATATATTATCAATTTAGTTACAAAAAATTATATGTATCATCATTCAATGTTAATTATTTCTATTCATTCGACTTTTTCAAGTGAAATAAGAAAAAAATGCCCTACAAAAATATAAAGAAAGAGTATCTAATTTTTTTTTTTTAAGAAAAAAAGAAATTGGAAAGCAAAAAAAAAAAAAACTAATTTTCTTCTTACCAGCGAGAATTGCTTTGTGTGCTTGGAACTCTCTCCCACAAACGGTAAGCGTGACGTCGCTAAATTTTTGGTTTTCGAAAAGCGATCCTAGATCGTCGGGTAGTCGACACTCAGGTACTTTAAATTGTATCGTATTACTTTGTCCCGAAATATTGACACTATCCGCCACCACGCTGACCTGTGAATGAAAAAATTTTGAATATTAAAATATTTTCAAATAGAAATTTGAAAATAAAAATTTTTCAAACAAAATAATAGGAAATATATATATTTTTTGTAATTACTTTTTTTTCTTAAATAAATAACTATGTGATAATTACCTCACAAAATATCGTGAGTTTGTCGTCTGGTAAAAGACCATTAGCTTCATCTAAAAGGAAGTCTCTTCTGATGAATTTTTTGAAACCCCAATCCTTTCCTTGTACGAACCTGTACGCCCGTTGACTCTCTGTAATAATAATTGGAAAATTATTAATTTATCTACTAATAAAATTTTCATCTTCATTAAGTTTTTTTTCTTTTCTTTAAATAATTTAATCTTTCAATTAGTAAAAAATAAAATATTCTTATCACAATGAAAAGGTATTTTTAAATAATTACAATTTTTTTATTAATTTAATAAATAAAAATTACTGCTAATTAATTAGATTTATTAATCAATAATCGATAAAAATAAAAATTTAATTAAAAAAATTTTCTTTTTTATTTAAAAAGTCCGATAAAAAAGAAAACTTACCCATGGCTTTGGTCTCTTCTCTTTTGGCATTAAGAATAGAAAATTTGAACTTTGCTCTAACTTCAGACTTGTTGCAAGAAACGAGAAGGAGGTACAGGGATAAGTAGTCTTTACTTTCCTCATCCAGGCCTTTAGGATTTACTCGTAGGCACCTGAAACAAAAAAAAAAAAAAATGATTTCTTTTAAACTCTTTTACGAATCCAATTATAAATCTAATCGATATAAATGAAGAAATAAATTTTATGAAAAAAGTTAAACGTTTTCACATAGATTTATTGAATAGCACTTCAAGAAAAGCAGTTAAGTAAAAGTTAAAATAGAAGAAAGTGGAGTAAAAGTTGACCGCTCTCTTTCTATATATTTCTCTAAAATTAATATATATACAGATATATACTAAAATTATTCTATCCACTTTTTAAATAAAAAATAATTAGATTAATTATTAATTTCTAAACGCAATTCACTCCTAAACCAAGAGGTTGAAGGCTAAATAAAATGAATTAATTATGTTCAATTTTTATTACAGCACTATCAGTAAAAACGTAATTAACCTTCTTCATTAAATATTCAATTCAATTTAATTGCGTATTTTTAATGAATTTAATTTAATAAAAAATTAAATATTAATTACTTGATGGCAATAATCCAATCATGAAAATTATTAAAAATTAAAAAATTTTTTGAACACTATTTTTTTAGAAAATATTTTGTTAAAAGCAACAAAAGCTAAAAATATATAAATTCACTTCAATGAAAATGACCTTGCCACGTGCTTCCACAAATCGATATTATACATATCACAATACAGACTTTGGATTACCATCAACATTTCATTGAATTTAAATAAAAAATATAGAAAAATAAAGTTTTTTAAAATAAATTTAAAAAAAAATTTTTTTAATTCTCTTTGCTCTACCTGTATGTATTTATATTTAATAAACAAATTATATATGATCAAAAACGTTTAATATTTTTTAAAAAATGTACAATTTACTTAAACAAATTAAATAAATTTTGAAAATAAATAATTTATTTGAACATATGCAGTGGATTAAGAGAAATATAATTTCTTTTCAAGTATATATACTTGAAAAAATATTATATTTCTTTAGTTATATGAAAAGAAAAATATAATATTTCTGGAAACAGTATTTAATATATATTTAAAAAAAAACATAATACTTTTAATCTTTTTTTATGCTTCAATTAAGAAATTGTTAAAAAAAAATTTTAACTGATTATAAGTTGCATTCAAGAAACAAGTTGATTTCACTTTTCAGTTGATTATCTGGAAACCAATTATTCTCTTTTATATTATCAATATTACTAGTTTAAAAGCAAAGAAAATAATCATCGTAGGAAAGTGAAATAATTGAGTTTCTTTATCAACTTGTCGCCAATTGAAAGCTGTTAACACGTTTTTTTTTCTTTTCTCTAATTTAAAAATATATTAATATTTTTGAAAAAATTGAAATTAAACTATTATTTTCCCTAATTTACAGAATTGTTAATTTAATCTTAATTAAAAATCTTTAATAAATTATATTTAATTAATTTCAATTTTCTAAAAAAAATTTCGAATGATTTTTAATTTAAATTATCAATTTACAATAAAATTGTTAATAAAAGAAATTCTGTTTTTGTTAAAAAGAATATTTTTTGATTTATTAAAAAAAAAAAAAACAAAACAAAAGAGAGAATTCTTACCATTTCAGTTTATCGTTGGCTCCAGCTGAGAACGTAGATGACTTGAGGACCTCTCCCATCTCTTCCCGACAAAAGCTGAAGTTGTTTATCGTCCACATGTAGCTGAACTTAACCACCTTTACCTGTGCATACAAGACCTTCAAATCAAACATCACGTCAGAATAAATCTCCCAAGAACGAGCTTATCCTAATTAAAAGGTAATCTACGGAATCAGCTATAACTATACCGCATCTCTAAGTGCTGGAAAAATTTTATTTTTATATTCTAAATTATAATACACATATATATATTCAATTTTGAATACTTTCATTCATGTTGATTCAATTATTTTTTTTTCCCCCAATAGTGTAAAACAAAAAAAGGTTAGAAAAATTCATTTCTGTGTTCATTTACATATCGAATTTTCATTAATTTTTTTTTTTAATTTATATTTGTCGAAATTTCGAAATTTATTTATTTATTTTGAAATTTCAATAAACATCTTTTTAAAAGTTCCAGACACACAATAATAATAATACTTTTTTTTTTCTCCTCGACACTCAAAAATATTGTTCAGCACAATTTTTCTTTTTCCAGTCTCAAGGAATATATTTTAACCACGAAAAAACAAAAAAAAATTCATCTCGCCTCAAAAGCAAAACTCACAGACAAAAGCGTGTTGTATTTTTTTTTTCTCTCTTTCCAAGAGTCTAAAGAAAAAGATTTTTTTTTTTCTTCTGTTTTCTTTGCCAAAAAAATTGTCTTTGTCTTTTTTTTTCTCTCTCTCTCTCTCTCGAACGTCCTCCAACCTGACTGCCATTTATTTATTTTTTTTTTATCTTTTTCAAGCGATTTGATCGCATCTCTCGTGCTTGAAGCGTTCGGTGATTTTAAATACCGTTTTTGGTTGAGGCCCACACATCTATAATATGGTATCCAACACATCTTTTAAGAGAGGATTGAACCACGAAAAAAAAAAAAAAAAAACGTGATTTTCGAAGGACCATATCAACACAGGTGGATATATAAAAGGAGATGGGGGAAAAAAAAGAAGAAGAAGTCAGAAGTTGGTGATGGAATAAAGGGAAGTGGTGCAAAGGAGGAAGGTGAAGAAGAAGAAGAAGAAGAAGTATAGAAGAAGAAGAGGAAGACGAGGTCAAACCTTCAGAAGTCAACGCACTCTGACGTCACGCGTTGTCCGACCTTGGCGAACGAATGAGCAAAAGACTATATCGCAAAAATCTACCTGTCCTTGATCTGTTCCTAGACAAGGTGACAAAAAATAATTTTTTTTTTTCTTCTAAATTCAATAGTATTTTATTTAAATTTTCATTAGAAATATTCTTGTATTTAATTAACATGTCAAGTTTAATTTACATGATATTTTACTCATGAACTCAATATCCTTTGGAGGCCAAGTTCGGTTCCGGTTTAATTTAGTTCCGCTTTCGTGTTTCGCGTTCTTTTTTTTCATCAACAGTTCAATCACAAAGATTAATGTGAAAATTGTTGTTTCGGAATAAAAATTTTTCCTCATTGTTGAATGAAAAAAAAAAATTATTACAAATTCATCTCATGAAAAAATCAATAAAAAAAAAATCGACAAATTTCGCTTTTGTTAATTAATTTATTTGAATATTGCGAGTAAATTATTTTTTTTTGAATATAGAGAGAATCTCGGAAAATTGGCAATAAATCAAAGTGGAAAAAATTGGAGTGACGCCCTCGGCAAAAATGAAAGTTCCCCCCCCCTCTCTCTCTCTCGCGCACACACACACACCTCATTTGTAAAAGCCTACATATCCGCAATACAATTACCAAGCATCCCGCTTTGTAACTACCGGATGATTTTACGATCAGTCACGCTTGTCTGGAATTTCAATGCATAACAAGTCCACACATTTATTTTGTTACAATTGAATTCACTATACATATGCGGAAAAAAGAGAATTTTTTTTTTTTGAAACTAATCACGTAAAATTATTAAATCTCGAGATCATTATTTTTACTAAAAAACAAGAGTCATTAAATATTTTATTTTTGGAACATTCTGTAAATTTGACATTTTTGGCAAAGTTATACGTTGATGAAGTTGACAATGTTTATGATCAAAAAATACAGTAAATAATAAAGATTTTTGCCTAATACAAATTATTTTCATTAAAAAATTGTTTAACGAGAAACGTTAAAAACATTTATTTTTTTTGATATAAATAAATTATAATAATTATAGAAAAATATTATTTCTTCTAAATCGTTTGATTAGAGTGAAAAAAAAATTTATTTGATTCAAATAATAATTGATTACTTGACTGTAATCAAAAAATAATATTTATTTGGCACTGAAATAAATTTATCTCTTTTCTGAGTGTTGAAAATGAAATAAAATTGTATAAGAAATTTTTTTTTTTTTTATCAACTCCTCAACGTGAAATGAAATCTCAAATTATTGATACGAATGATAATAATTTATATCTGTCTATAAGGAAACATAGAATTTTTTTTTTTTTTTTTTTTTGGAATATTTTGTCAGGTATGGATGAAATCACTTTTAAATTGAAACCATATAGCCGTGAATAAAACTTAAAGGTCAACAATCGCATGGTGACAACAGTAGACCAGGTAAACTTTGTAACGCGAGTTCAATGTACTTCTGTATATATATATATACATAATCACACGTAACCACACAGACATATTTTTTTTTCTTCCTAGAAAATAGTTCTCAATATATATATATGAATGATTACTATATATGAGGAGCGTAAATATCGATACTTTTGCACTTGATATTCAGGGAGACTTTTAAAAGAGGGAACGCACATGCAAAACGATTATTGTTGGAATAATTAATGGACAAAATATTGCCAAGAGAGAATGAGAAAGAGAAAGAGAGAATAAGTAGGGATAGTGACCTCAGGAGAGCCAGGAACACGTCATTAGAATAAAATTATTGCCAAGAGAGCGAGAGAGAGCGAGAGAGAGAGAGAGCAAATATTAAACACCGGGAATTATATGCTATAGACAATATTGACGTCTTATTTACATGCTCGGCTCCTGCTTTTCAATCTTGTAAACTTGTTCCTGAAAATCAATTTTCATTGAAAGCTCGATTGAAGGGAAATACAAGTAAGAAACAAATAATAAATATTAATTCTTTGATTACGAAATAAAACAAAGAAACAGTTAATTTTTGTCAAAAAAGAACATTTGTGCAATTTTTTTTTTTTTGAATCAGTAGTAAAAGAAAGTTTTAGTCAGACATTTGTTGTTGTTGTTGTAATTTCACTATACAAGTAGTAAAAGTATAATAAGACTTAAAATTTCTATAATTTTTTTTTTGTTTTAAGTAGAAAAATAGCGTTTTAGTCAGACAAAACTTTATTCAATATTATATTTGCAATTTTTTTCTCAGTGGTAAAAGTCTTTGTTTGTCAGACAAAATATTTAAAAATGTATTTTTTCAATTAGTAGTCAAAGTAAGTTACAGTCAGACATTTCATATTTTTCTAATTTTTAATGACAATAGTAAAAAAAAATTAACAGACAAAAATTGATGGACTTTTTTTGGTGCATTTTGTTATCAGTAGTAAAAGTCAGTGTTTGGTCAGACGAAACATTTTTAATTTACGTAATTTTACAATTAGTAGTTAAAGTGAGTTAGAGTCAGACTTTCCATATACTTTACTAATTTTAGTGACAGTAGTAAAACAAAATTTTAAGTCAGACGAAAAATGATAGAATTTTCAATATTTTGTTATCAGTAGTAAAATTCGGTTTTTGTCAGACGTAAACTTTTAAAAATAGTTTTTTTTTTTAATTATTAGTAGTGAAAGTAAGTTGCAAATCAGACATATTTATTTATATTTTTCTAATTTTTTTTTAATCAGTAGCAAAACAAATTTTAAGTCAGACAAAAGTGGATATAATTTTCAATGATTCGGTTACTAGTAGTAAAAGTCGGTAACTGTCAGACAAAATTTTAAAAATCTAGTTACTCAACTATCAGTAGTAAAAGTAAATTGCAAATCAGACGTTTTTTTCTAATTTTTTTTTATCAGTAGTAAAACAAATTTTAAGTCAGACAAAAATTAATTGTTTTACTAATTTTGTTATTAGTAGTAGAAGTCTGTTTTTGTCAGACAAAACTTTTGGAAAATTTTTATTATACCGTCAGTATAGTAAAAAAATGCTAAACAAGATATTTCACGTTTTTTTTTTTTAAATTTTTGCAAGTCAAAAGTAGTAAAACTCAGTTTTCAGTCAGACCCCTCGGGTTCTTTCCGAGTTTTGTGATCAAGTTTCGAATAAGTAACTGAAAAGTTAAAGGATCAAAAAGAGAAGAAGAAAACTTGGACATTTTATAATATATATATAGTAAATTTACCAAACTTCTTTTAGACTAATTTTAAATACCACGTCTTGTATACTGATTTAAACTTCAAAGTAGAGAACAAAGGAGAAAAAATGAAATCAAAGTTTTTTTTTCAAGGAAATGGAATTCAAGAGATTTCGAGAAGCTATCAAGTTTAATGAATACTCTGCGAAAGGATGCATATTAAAAGGGATGATGAAAACTTTGAAACTTAATCCTCAGCATTTCAGTTAAAATAAAGTGTTCTAATTTGTTAAATCCATTTAATTAACTAAAATCCATTTCAATTAATTAAATTCATTTCAATTCATTAAATTTATTAATTTTTTTTCATATTATTATCATATTCCCTTTAACGTTTACGATTTACGAAAAAAAAGAGTAATATCTTTATAAATTCGAGTAAAAGTTATATATATCATACACTGAAAAATTTTTATTTCAATTAAATAAACTGTATTTAAACCAATAATTTTTGTATTTAAAAAAAAAACCGTATCAAATAATAATAAAAATAAATATTTATTTGATAATAGTCAAGTAATCGATTGTTTAAATTAAATAAATTTTTTTTTATACCCCTGAAAAAAGTAATTGAAAGAATATAAAAGATAATTTGAAAAATTTCACTGAAAAATTTTGACACAAAAGTATAAATTCATATCGTTTAAGTTAAGAGCAATGAGTCATCTTATCAGAGAATGATAAAAAGTTAAACAAAAAAAAAAAAAAAAAAAAAAAAATCCATGAACAAGAAGACGATAAAAATTTTATTGTTCAAGAGGGAAATACATTGTTACAAATTCCACTTGAAAATCCATACTAAAAGGTTTCCCTGATTCTTTTTTGTGAAATGAAAAACTGCAGATTCTGTGGAGAATCCACTTTTTTTTTTAAAGAAAATAAAGAAAGAAAAAAAAAATAACTTGAAATCTAAGTTTAAAATCTAAAACAAATATCCTCAAGTCTGTGGGATTCTCGTTCTCGAGTTTCTGGTCAAGTATAGAAGCGACTAAAGTGCTGAAGGGGAATTGGAAGTAAGATAGGCTAGGTATGCATATGGTGGGCAGTATATATATCTAACATGAACAGAGAGAGAGAGAGAGAGAGAGAGAGAGAGAGAGAGTTGGGGGATAGGAGGAATATATATCCACCGCAGCAGGAAACAAGAGGTTTCCCGTGTCGTCCAAGTAAAACGACGACAAGAGGGAAGCAAGGTATACGTGAAAAAAAAATTGTAAATAGGAAAAAAAAAAAAATAATAAAGAAAATCGTTAAAGGAAAGGGAATTCATGAGAATTCATGTGCATTCTTGCTACCACCTAGTCGTAGTTGTGTTTGGTCGTTACAGGTGGGTTTTGCTGGTGCTGCTTCTGGGTCTATGCTCCGGTCGACGCCCTGAGTCATTCAACTCGTGGCCGTCACCGATCGGCCTTGAATCGTCACTCTTTTGCCCGTCTGAAGAACCCGCAACTTTTGGTTCCACACTTTATTCCATCAAATTCAACTTCCGCTATATATGTCTGAATAGAAGGATTTCAACAAATTTTTGTCACATTGCCTCATCAATATACAATACATCATGTTTAAGCTACACACCTTCAAATATTCAAATATTCAATGCTTATAAGAATTTCAAAAAAAAATTTATTTCATTATTATTGTTATTTATTATTATTACTATTATTATTATTAGTGGTACCAATTAATGGTACCAATGATAATAATTACTAATAATTTATGGTACCAGTTGATTTTTGATTAATGCCTTATTGGTACCAATTAATTAATTAATTTTTATCGAATAGTGGTATCAATTAAATATTAATTAGTAGTACCAATGATAATAATTAATAATAATAATTTATGGTACCAGTTGATTTTTAATTCATTCATTAATGGTTCCAATTAATGGTACCAATATATGGTACCAATAAAAATAATTAATAATATTGATTTATGTTACCAATTGATTTTTGATTAATTCATTATTGGTACCAATTAATTAATTAATTTTTATCGAATAGTGGTATCAATTAAATATTAATTAGTAGTACCAATTAATGGTACCAATGATAATAATTAATAATAATAATTTGGTACCAGTTGATTTTTAATTCATTCATTAATGGTTCCAATTAATGGTACCAATATATGATACCAATGAAAATAATTAATAATATTGATTTATGGTACCAATTGATTTTTGATTAATTCATTAATGGTACCAATTAATTAATTAATTTTTAACGAATAGTGGTATCAATTAAATATTAATTAGAGGTACCAATAAATGGTACCAACGATAATAATTAATATCAAATGATGGTACTAAGTGATTGATATTTAATTCATTATTGGTACCAACTAATAGTAACGAATAATGGTGCCACTAATGGTACCATCAATGGTACCATCAATGGTACCACTAATGGTACCACTATAATGGTACCATTAATAGTACCACTAATGGCACAACTAATGTTACTACCAATGGTACAAAATAATGGTACAATTTCTCCGTTTTTTAAATTTAACCACTAAATGGCCTTACCATAATGGTACCAACCCGTGTAAAAATTGCCATATTTAGCCCAAAAATAGCTTGAAACGCCTCACCCATAATGGGCCAAACCTGGGAAGCGTCAAAATGTAACTTCATCTTGTGGCCCAAATCGGGTAAGGCGTTTCATGCCAATTTTATGAACGCTCGATTTGGCCCATAGGTTTGGACCATGACAAAATTTCTCCCCGGGTTAATTAATAGAAAATTTTTCCCATTTTTGAAAAAATTACCAAAAAAAACACATTTAAGTTCAAAAAAATCCACTTTCAGTAAAAAAAAAAAAAACGTTCAATATTCTATAACTGCAAAAGCGAAGAAATTTAAAAAAAAAAAAAAAAATACTGCATGGAAATTTTTCAGACATAGAGTTGATTAACTGATAAAACGTTAAAGGGGACAAGGGACATTTTATTACTAAAAGTTTTAATCAAGTTTGCAGGAAATGTCTCACGATTATCATTCATTTTTTCTCTCTCTCTCTCTCTCTCTCTCTCTCTCTTTTGTACAGGAAGAGAATTTTTTTTCTTTTATATATATATACCAAGAGAGCCTCTCTATATTGCGGTGAAGAGATAGGATATAATGTTGCACTTTACAAAGATGATCTTAAAGGGACAGTGAGGCCATAATATGGCGAGTGTAAGATATCTCATGTTGCAGGTCGTTCACTTGGCAAGGGGACGAGCCTCTGCACTGCTCACAGTAAAAATAGATTGAGCGCACCGCGAGAGCTCGTGCTCTCACGCATGGCGCGACTTGTACCGCTTGTCCTATTCTCTTTTTTTTTTCTTTCCTTCTTTTTTTTTTTGTTTCAAAATTTATTTTTCTCATTTCAAATTAATATATATATATATATACTGCACAATAATCATTGAAAAAAATTCAAATATTCCATAAACATAAAAAAATACAATGTTTTCATTTTTTGTTTTTAGAGAAAATGAAAAATAATTTAATAAATTAATTAAAAATAATAGTAGCAAATATTTGCTTTTTTTCGATTCAAAAAAAAAAAAAAAAAAAAATTAAAAACTTAAAATTTGCATCATAATATCCTCTTGAAGCTATTATTTTTGCATAAAAAATTGATTGTTCCACAATAACCCTCTTTGTACTATTATATAGTCCCGTTTTACAGTAATAAAGTTCATTCATTCAAGGTCTTGAAAAATTTTTATATAGAAATAATTTATCGTTATATATTTTAAAAAATATATTTTTGTATATTTTTTTTTTTTGCTTATTTGTTTTTTACGAAAAAATATTTCACGATCGTCTATATTGAGTTATTGGATAATTTGACAAAAGTATCTTCAATTTATTAAATATTCAGTTGGCAGATAAATTGATACCTTATATATATATATATATACAATATCTGAATTATCTGATATTCCAGTGACACCGATTTCCAGAGCAAAAATATAATAAAGGCTGATGACACTTTGTTAGTCTTTTGCGATAAAAGGCGATACTTGCCAGGCAACCAGAATGTGAAAACTGTAATTTAGAGACGTGGATAAATGTTTGTTTATAAATTATGTCCACATATAAAATAAACTATATAATACATATAAAGAATATTCACGCAAATACATCATGGAAAAAAAATCTTTATCTGGAACAGCGATATATATTTTTCTAGAATAACAAAAACATTCCCTGTTTCAGTGAAACTTATTCACTGTTTCAGGTAAAAAAAAAAAATTTTTCCATGATATATTTATTTTTGATTTATACTGTATATAAACAAACGAGTTATAGAGCAAATCAGGTTTGATTGTATGGCAACAGCGCCAGTTCGAAGATTCCGCAAGACCTCCTCATTGGCTGAACGATTAACCAGGTTACTTTCAATAGTAGGACGATTAAAAATTATCCAATAATGTCTGCATGAATTAGTCCGAAGCCACCTACAGCATTCGAAAGTGTTACAAGTACTTTTTCTCAACATGAGAACCACTGCTTTATAACGATATTTATAAATAAAATTTTACATATTTATTTTTATATATATATGTTTTATGTTTATGACGAGACGGAATTAATATTTGAAAAGCTTCCAAAGTAATTCAACTATTCATCAGAATTTTTTGTTATCATCCTTTTTTATTAAATCTTTCGATATATTCATCTTCATTTATTTATAGATATAGAAATTAAATTAAATTTATATTTAGATATTTATGTATATATATATAAATATGATTCTTTACTATACTTTCATCCCAAAAAAGAAAGTGTGGAGCTTTTTTTAAAAAAATTTTATTTACAGAATAAAATTAAAAAATTGCAAAATATTTTTTAAAGAAGAAACTTTTTTTTAAAGAAGAAGAATAAAATTTTTTATAATTTTGCATATATATATATTTTTTTTTTAAAGAGAGAGAAAGAGAAAAAAGGAATTAATAAAGCGAAACGATAAAGTGATAAATGTTATCCTTGTAGTATATAAGTTGAACTAAAGGACAAGTTGGCAAAGAACAAATTGGCATTGCCAAGCGCAAAAAGGATTTACGGTAGCATTCAAGTTGATGGACGAAGCGAAAGTCTTTTTGCCAGGGAATGCAGATTGCTGATGCGGTTAACTGAATGGTTCTTGTTAAAGCATCACGATAATTCATAAATATATTCCAGACAAATTCACAAAGTTAGTCATAACTTCCTCTATATTAATTTTTAATTCAATCGAGGTATTTTTTTTTTAAAAAATTAATATTAATCGATAAAAAATATTCTAAAATAAAAAATTTAATTTAATAGCATTTTAAATTGATACCACATAGAATTTGTTTTATTTGAACCAAATAAATATAATATGAGTTAAATAAACGTATATTTGTCTCAGTGTCAAATAGTTCATTTATTTGGCGTAAATAAAAATTTTATTTTTCATAAATTAAATTTTTATTTAAATCAAATAAAATAAATTTGATGCTGTAAATATATATATATATGTAAATGAACACACCTACCAATATTAAATACTATTATTTTGTCCTAAACGACTAATTATAAATCTTTAATTTAATAAGAAATAAATAAAAATAAATATAAAAAAAAATAATTTTGTAAATAAATAGAAATAATAAATATAATAAAAATAAAAAAAAATCAAATTTTTGGAAAAAATTATATATAAGGAAGGAGAGAAAAAAAAATGGAATTTATAAAATTTCAAAGAGACAAACCTGTGTGTAACACCAATTTTCAGCGACAGGAGTATTTACTTCCGGTGGTGGAGGGCTTGGAACGCGGCTTACAGCCATGCTACTGCTGCTGTGCAAATTGGAGCTGACCCGCGACGTTTGAGGCGCACATTCGCTCACCGCAAGTCTGTAACAGAGAAAGCGAAAGATTATTGCAGACGACTGCTTTTCTATATACTTGGCAAGAAACGTCGTTTTAAACGAAATTTTCTCAATTTTGCTCTCTCTCTCTCTCTATCTCTTTTTCTTCAATTATACATCAAAAGGATCAGTTCATCACGAAAAATTATTCGATATATCATATTTATAACTGAATTTCAATTATATCTTTTATAAAGTCTTGGATAAAAAATATTATACATTTCTTTTTATCTTATGCTCTTTCAGAAACAGGAAACGGATGTGGGTATAATGATTAAAAAAAAAAAAAAAAGAAAAAAGTTCAACTGAAATTTTCAATTTATCAAATTTGCATTGTTTATAAAAAAAACAAGAAAATTGAAAATAAATATTAGTTTATTAATTAATTAAATATTTTTATTAATTATTACTATTATTATTATAGTTTAAACATAATTTGAGAAAAAATTAAATAATTATTTTAATAACATAAATAATTTTTTAATTAATTAATTTTTAAAAATTATATATAAATAAAATATTTTATTTTAATAAAGTAAATAATTTATATGAAATAAATTTTTTAATTTAACTTAATGATTTTGCTCGTATTTGCTTCGCAATAAGAAAAATATTTATGTTTTAATAATAAATTTGTGAAATCGCAGTTTTTATTAATTCTATACAACACGGAGATTTGAATTTTACAAAATCCTTGTCGTCAACGACGCTATATATATATTATATTATAAGAAATTCCAGTGGCATTATCTAAGCATTCTGTATATATAGTAAAAGAATTCCATGGAATCTTTCGTGTGAGAAATTTACACTATTCCTGGGAAGAAGAGGATAGTTCATTTGAAAGATAAGAAACGTGTGAGTACAATAAGAAACTTGTGTGGATACAATTGGAACACGTCCTCCTTTTCCTCATAACTGCTCGTTTCATTTATATATATTGTATATCTTTAACAAATTCGCGTCATATTCTACATTCAGGAAGTTGATGCATTTATTATTATTATTTTTGTTAATAATAATAATAATTATTTTTATTAATAATAATTATTGTTTTTATTAATAATAAAAATATTTTTTTCTTAGATCCGAACAAATTTTTATTTGTTTCTAATAAATATTATTTATGTTAAAGTAAATTTTTTTTAAATTAAAACAAATAAAAAAGTTATTAGACCACTGAGACAAATATATTGTTTACTTGATTTATAAATAAATTTTATTTTTCTCTACTCTCTAAATTTGAATTAGAAACATTTGTAAGTACTTTGAATTACACTCAGAGAAATGGTATATTTGTCTCCGAGCCTACTAACTCATTTATTTGTTTCAAATATAATTTATTTCATTGAAATAAAAAATTTATTTGAGCCAAAGAAAACTTTATTTCTGACAAATAAAATTTTTATTTACGCCAAATAAATAAGTTAGTAGGCTTTGAGACAAATATACGTTTATTTAACTCAAATATATTTTATTTGGTTCAAATAAATCATTTCTCTGGGTGTAGTGACTCATATTTTGCCTTTGAAATAGTTGAATTTTAATGAGCCAAAATTAATAACTTCTTTGTAGATATTTAAAACAATATTTTGTAATAAAATACGTATTTAAAGAAGTTGCAAAAAAATTTTTTTGTTCATTTGAACGTTCAAAACTTTTGGCTCATGAATTTTACTAATTCGTTGGTAAAAAAAATGCTGTTTTTTTTACTATCAATTAGTTAAATTTTATTAATTCGAAAGCAAAAAGTGAGTCATTAATTTAAATTAGTTAAAAAAATTTAATTTTAATTTAGAGAATAATAAACATGAAATAATTGTAAAATAAGTTTTAAAATACTATTATTCTTATTTTATTATTATTATTATTATTATTATTATTATTATTATTATTTATTATTTGAAATAATAAATAAAAAATGCTTATTTTGATATAGAATCGAAAGAAAAAAATATTTAAGATTTCCTCTTTCTTTTTATTTATGTTTCAAATTAAAAACTAACAAAAATAATTTAAAAAAAGTTTCCACCTTGGACGAGTCTAAAAACAAAATTATGAAAACTAGAGCTATAAAGAAAATATATTTATAATTTATAAACAAAATATATTTATAATTTATAAACAAAAATGTGTTTGTAATTTACAAACATTAGATGACACTGGCTTTTATAAGTACATGCATGTTTAATAAAGGTCTCTCGAACTGAAAATCCATTCCCGAAAACTATAGTTACACTTTGCGAGAGTTAACACACCGTGGAGGTCAAACAAATTTGGAAATTTATAAAATGTTAAGGCTATTAATCTGCAGTGAAATGTATATAACATTAAAGAGAGGGGACTCGAGTTCATGGACAGTGGATCGATGCCTACATATATATAGAGTCTATAGGGAAGCTCGCAAAAGAGGGATAACAAACCAAGTATATATATATATGTATATTGATGGAGAGTTGTGAATTTATTTAGTTTTGTGCACATTGTAAAAGTCAAGAGTGGAAATGACTTGTGAAAGACGAATATAAGAGGATAATGATAAAAGAGGAAGATAACAAAAGAAGACGAAGGAAAAGAAGAAGAAGAAGAAGAAGTAAAAGAAGAGGAGAGAAGAAAAGGGAGAAAGGTATGCAGGGCACGCGATGGTGCTCGTGAGCGCCAAGTACGGGGCGGAACTACTCGACTTCCGTCGAGTGCAATAGCCCCAGGTTCATCGGACCTGGTTACACTCAGCCGACCGAAACGCATACTAGCCTAGCCTCCTATTTTTCATCTATTGTAATACACGTTACTTTTTTTCAATTATACATTATTACACCTGCGGGAGGAGAATTTTTCTTCATTCATTCAAAACTGATTGAAATTATCGTTAGGTACTCGAAACTATTTGGTTGGAACTACCATTAGGTACTCGAAATCATAATTAGGTACTGGAAACTAATGGGAAACTTGTTGGAATTACCATTGGTCGAAACTACCATTAAGTAATTGAAACTATTAGTTGGAATAACCATTAGCTACTTGAATCTACTATTGGTCGGAACTACCATTATAGGTACTTGAAACTACTATTGGTTTGACCTACCATTGGTCGGAACTACCATTACGGACTTGAAACTACTACTGGTTGGAACTACCATTAGGTACTTGAAACTACAATTGGTTGGAACTACCATTAGGTACTCGAAATTATAATTAGGTACTGGAAACTAATGGGAAACTTGTTGGAACTACCATTGGTCGAAACTACCATTAAGTAATTGAAACTATTAGTTGGAATAACCATTAGCTACTTGAATCTACTATTGGTCGGAACTACCATTATAGGTACTTGAAACTACTATTGGTTGGACCTACTATTGGTCGGAACTACCATTACGGTCTTGAAATTACTATTGGTTGAAACTACCACTGGTCGGAACTACCATTAGGAACTTAAAAATACTACTGGTTGGAAATACTATTTGGTACTTGAAACTACTATTGATTGGACCTACCATTGGTCGGAACTACCATTAGGTACTTGAAACTACAATTGGTTGGAACTACCATTAGGTACTCGAAATTATAATTAGGTACTGAAAACCAGTGGGAAACTTGTTGGAACTACCATTAAGTAATTGAAACTATTAGTTGGAATAACCATCAGCTACTTGAATCTACTATTGGTCGCAACTACCATAAGGTACTTGAAACTACAAATGATTGGAACTACCATTAGGTACTCGAAATTATAATTAGGTACTGGAAACTAATGGGAAAGTTGTTGGGACTACCATTGGTCGTAACTACCATTAGGTACTTGAAACTACTACTGGTTGGAAATACTATTAGGTAATTGAAACTACTATTGGTTGGACCTACCATTGGTCGGAACTACCATTACGTTCTTGAAATTACTATTGGTTGAAACTACCACTGGTCGGAATTACCATAAGGAACTTAAAAATACTACTGGTTGGAAATACTATTCGGTATTTGAAACTACTATTGGTTGGACCTATCATTGGTCTGAACTACCATTAGGTACTTGAAACTACAATTGGTTGGAACTACTATTAAGTACTTAATACTACCATTGGTTGAAACTACCATTATTGAAAAAAAATTTTTATTTGTGGTTATTACAATGAATTGTAGTAAATGATAGTAGAAATAATAGCAGAGATAATAGTAGAAATATAATATTATCAATAATGGTAAAAAAAATATAGTAGAGATAATGGTAGAAACAATGGTAGTTCCTGCAAATAGTATTAGAAATTAATAGCATAATTGCATTGAACAGTAAATTTTCAATTTTTATCGTTGATTGCAATCAAATATATTTTTAATTAACAGTTATCTACCTTCATAAAATATAAATCAAGTTAGGTATGAGAAAATTGCCCTTTAAGATGTAAAAATTATTATCAATATAATCGTGACAATATATGTGTTATGTGCCATCTATAAAACCACTTAAAAATTTTATTTCATAATTGCACTTTACCCTATAAGAAATTTTATTTCTCATATATATATATATATATATACCTCAACTGTTGTAATAACAGTTTTTATTTATCAAATAGTTTAGGTATTTTATTGATTTTATATTATTACTTTACCTATAAATGAATTTCAAAAAAAAAAAACAGAAATATTATAGGTAATTTTCGTTCTCAATTAATATTTTCACTATGAAATATTAAAAAAGAAGAAACAATAAAGAAATTTTGAAGGAATTAAGAAAAATTAGATAATTCAATCATTTTTTTATACAGAGGATCATAAAAATCTTATGTGAATATTTTAAATTGCGCGAATAATAAAAAGGTTCTTTTAAATATTTTGTATCACTTTTTTTCTAATATCATGAAAAATATTTATATAATTTAAATTATTCTTTAAGAAAAAATTTAAGAAAACAATAAAAATATCTTCTTAGGAATAATGTTAATTTTTATGAGAATAAAATTACAAGAATATATTTTATATAAAATA